TGATCAACCATCGAGATGCAGGTCTCCTTCAGAACTGACCTGGTCCCTGATGTGCCCATATTAACTGTCAAGTAAGTTCGCAACAGCCTTGAAACAAGCAATGCGCAAGCTTAGCTTTGTCAAAGCCACCCTCGGCATTTGTGTTGGAGTAGTAGCCAATGGATATAGTTTGACTCATGATATCATGAAGTTGTCACTTGAGTGGTCGGCGGAGAGGGTTGTGTAAATCGTACAGCTCTTTCGAAGTACACTGAGACATCACGAGATCCATCAGATCATAGCCCTGCAATCCGGGTGTATTCTAGCTATACGAGAGCCTGCAAGGAAAAAAGAGAACATCCTCGTCTGGTCGCAAAGTATACGCGTATCTGCAATTGAGGCACCTTATATAGTAGGCTATCAAAAACAATGCCATATCCTCGCGAGCCTCAGGAATATCATCAAATGTCCTGCACTAATTCTCTAGCAGAACTTGTTATAATTAGCTTCTGACGCTGACTGTTCATTATTCTTTGTCTTACAGATGCGGCTAGGCATTTCAAGTTCGTTTCAGACTTCAGACTGACTAAATATAATCACCTTCAACGTTTGGAACTGGGTTATAGGGTAGCGTACTTGCTGTGTTAGTGACATGGGTAAGAACTTAGCCGACCGGAACAAAAGCTTATTAATTCGATAGCTAACAAGATCGAACATAAACTGGTGGCTGTGATTCAAACTGCGTTTTAACTTAAGCTAGTAGTAATAAGGAAACTATAGATAGAGGGCTTGTATTTGTAAATATTGGATGCAATTCTGATAGTATGGAGGATTCTCCATGTTTAAGCCAGTGCCATCTGCGTTCTAGATGAGTAACTGTAAGCAATGAACCGTCAATCTTACCAGTCACTCAACCAAGTAAGCACTCTATCTAATTAGCATATCTACTCAGTAAGCCAAGTTCAAGATATTTACATCAACTTCTCTTGTCTTCTATCTATATCCGAAACCGCAATCATGACGTGCAATCACCTCAGTATTTACCCCGCCATCATAGGCCCCATCCCCAATCCCCGCCATACCGCAGCTACCTCCGACCATCAAAAACAGCCCTCTTCCGACCCGACACATTAATAATCCCCAGTCCCGACACTCACACTCATGGCTCAACCTCTCCGTCGCTCACTGCTCAGAACCAGTACCATATCAAAACCACTCACCTCAATTCCAATCCAGCGAATCTCCAGAATAACTTCACACTTCTCAACAGCAACAATGGCGCCTGTACCTCCCAAGATGAAGGCCGTTCAGATTAACAAGAACGGCGGAACTGAAGTCCTTGAATTCAACGATGTTGCTGTTCCTAAAGCTGGTGAGAATCAGATCCTTGTCAAGAATCAGATTGCGGGCTTGAACTATATCGATACATACTTCCGAAGTGGTCTTTACAAAGCGCCTCAGTTTCCTCTTACGCTGGGCCGTGAGGCTGCTGGTACTGTCGTTGACGCTCACTCCTCCGTAAAGGGTTTTGAGAACGGTACTCGCGTGGTTTTCATGGGAACTGTGGGCGCCTACGCCGAGTACAGTGTCGTTAACGCCTCTGACGCTGTCAAAATTCCCGACGACGTTCCCACCGACCAAGCCGTCGCTGCTTATCTCCAAGGTCTCACAGCATGGACTTTTATCCGTGAAGCTGGTCAGGTCAAGGCTGGCCAATGGGTTCTTGTGCATGCTGCATCTGGAGGTGTAGGCACTCTTCTTGTTCAGCTGCTCCGAATTGTCGGTGCCAAGGTCATTGGTACTGCTAGTTCTGAAGAGAAACTTGCGCTTGCGAGGAAGAATGGTGCGGAGTGGGTTATCAACTCTCATGATGATGTTGTTGCAAAGGTTAAGGAGATCACGGGTGGTCATGGTGCGGATGTCATCTTTGATGGCGTGGGCAAGGTTACTTTCGATGGAGATCTTGAGATGATTGCTGCCAAGGGTAACCTCATTTCCTTCGGCAACGCTGTAAGTGATCCTTCAACAACTTTCACATCCCAAGCTAACAGCAACACAGTCCGGTGCTGTGGATCCTGTCAGCCTCTTCAGACTTACACCCAAGAACGTCCGCCTAATGCGTCCCGTGGTCAACGGCTACGTCTCCGAGCGAGCTGATCTCGAAAAGTACACATCCGAGCTCTTCGACCTTATCAAGTCCAAAAAGCTCGAACTCACCATTCACAAGGTGTACCCGCTCAAGGACGTGGCACAGGCACACCAGGACATTGAGAGCCGAAAGACGATTGGAAAGTTGCTCATTAAAATCGATTAAGTCTAGCCTTTTTGTTTTTTATTTAGAATGCGCTATCTGTCTATAATGCTATGGATGGTTCAATCATGACCAAAAACACAAATCTTTTAAGGAATTTTCATCTCGGTCCGTAAACTGCGAGAGGCCTGCTCCGCACAAGGGTGGCCTTCGTCATCATTATTTCTATTTTTAAGCCTTGGAAGACTTGATAGCCTCGACCATCTCGGCTGGAGGATCTTGTCGGTAACCCTTGGGGTTGTTGCTGACCCATTTCCAGAGGTCATCGCAGGCCTTCTCCATGGTGAGCTCGGTCTTCCAGTTGAGCTCCTTATTGGCGAGGGTGGGGTTGGCAGTGAGATCGAGGACATCTCCTTGTCGTCGAGGGCGGACCTCGTAGGGGAGATCGCGGCCGACGACCTTGCTGAAGGCCTTGATGATCTCGAAAACGGTGCTTCCACGGCCGGAACCCAAGTTCCATGCCTTGACACCGGGCTGGTTCTCGCGGAGGTAGTTAAGCGCGACAAGATGGCCGCGGGCAAGGTCAACAACGTGAATGTAGTCTCGAATGGCAGTACCGTCGCGAGAGGAGTAGTCTACCAGATGTTAGAAGTTGCGCAGCAATTATGCACTAGTAAAACTCACCATCGCCGAATACCAAGAGCTTCTCACGTTCACCAGTAGCAACCTTTCCGAGGAGAGGCAGAAGGTTGTAAGGAACACCAGCGGGGTCCTCACCCATGATACCAGAGGGGTGAGCACCACAAGGGTTGAAGTATCGCAGGAGAGCACCGTTCCATTGCTTGAACTCCTTACCGGCCTTCTCCAAGTTGCTTCGCTGAGCGTTGATAAAGTCGGAGATAACGTCCTCGATCATGGACTTGGTGCGGCCGTATGTGTTGGTAGGTCCAATGGGGCAGTGCTCGGGAATAGGAATCATGTTGGGGAAACGAGTAGCATCGCCGTAGACGGTAGCGGAGGAGGAGAAGACGATGTTGTTGACGTTGTTGCGCTCCATGGAGCGGAGCAGAGAGATACTGCCACCGACATTGACGCGGTAGTACTCGAGAGGAATCTCGCCAGACTCGCCGACAGCCTGGATGGTGTTAGTCGTAGATAATCGCTCCGGCTGACATGTGACTTGCCTTGAGGGCAGCAAAGTGGATGACGCTGTCAATGGCAGGGTGCTTGGAAAAGACCTCATCGATGGCCTTCTCGTCTGTGACATCGAGCTTGTAAAAGATAGGCCGACGGCCGCAGATCAGCTCAATGCGATCGAGGACGACCTCTGAGGAGTTGTAGAGGGAGTCGACGATAACGACATCGTAACCGTGCTCAAGAAGGGCGAGCGAGGTGAAAGAGCCGATGTAGCCGGTACCACTGGAGGATCGATCGTTAGCTGGTGTTTCTTTGTCTTATGCGACACCGTATGATCTGTGTCCTGAAGCTTGCGACAACAAAGACAATGTCCAAGACCAACAAGAGATAGTAGGGGTTAGTGTCGCAAGGGATGGTTGAGTGGCGTACCCGGTGACGAGAACAGTTCCAACAGGCATTTTCAGTGGATTTCTTTGTTCTGACCTGACTGAGCGATTCAAGTTTGCGGTGAAAAAACACAAAGTGAAAGAAGTCGAGGAGGCGGGTTACGTTGAGGGATGGCGGGGTTAAAGGTCAATGTATGGTAGGGGGAAGATGTCGGGGGTGGATGGAAATGGCGGGGCAGCTTTTTTTTTTGGGCTGATTAGAAGGAGGGGGTTCGTGCTGATGTGATTAACGCTGCTAATTTAATGGCGGTGGGACTTCAAGGATCATGACATGCCCATGCCTCATGGAGGATTATTCGGGGCTTGAGGCTGAAGTATCAAGAAGGAATAGGCCGTCGATATCGGATCTCACGAGAATGAGTCGAGAGAATGAGTATGAGTGGCAAATAGTATCGCAGCATGGCATAGGCCCGAATACACTACACTCAAGATCGAGTTTATAATATGCGCTCCATACAACGGCCTTGTATTAACGACGGTTTACCCGACTTTAACTGAAGCGAACAGACGATCATGGTGGGCGGCAGGGTATTTGTGGAGTAAGGGCCTCGTAATGCTTATATCTCTTACATTCTCTGTTGTACCAGGTTGGTAATTAATCAACCTGCACTCCATGAAACAATGCATTTTGTAATGTGGCAGTTGATAGAGAAGTAAACTTTGGTGACATCCATTCATGAATAATGACTCTAACTCAGATGCTCATGCATTGATTGCGCTCTCTCCGATGGCTAAACCCGACTTTGAGACTTCGTATTGCTTCTCGTATTGGCCATGAATCTGTAGGAACGCAAATAAAAGAAATGACTAAGGATATTCCTCATTCAAAGCAGATTCAGAGAAAATTATCTAGCACTTTGCTTATATTCTAGGCTTTGATGGACTGCGAACTGAAGGTCTCGATTCTCAGTAATAACTCTAAGTGAAGTTGAGTTGGTCTCGATTAAATGCGGCGGAAGTATCGAAAGATCGTGCACTTTATTCGGCATTGAGTTTTCAATCAACTGATTTAAAATTACAGTTCAATTATTTTACCTGCGGTGTTTTAAGACGAACTTCTTGATGCTGTGTAATTTAGAGGCACTTGTAGAACGCCTGTGCACGTGATCACGTACACCAGCCTCTCAATTTGCGCCGCCTAATCCTCGGCGCGTATCGCGTCGGTGCATACAGCATCTTCGCGATAGCATCACAAGAAGTATCGACAAAAAAAGCAAGACGCATTTCAACAATCCAGTAAAAGATCTCATCACCGATACCGAAATTATCGCACTGTCATTATCGCGAACTTTTTGACGGCACCTCTCAAGACTCATTGTTTGCTCATCTCACCGCCACCAACATGTTTCTTTGTTGTGATTGACTACAACTCAACGTTTAGATTGGCCAGTCAAGCTGGCACACGGCAAACCTGTCTGCGTGAATCACGACTAGAGGTGGGGAGCTATTTGGTGGTGTTGCCTTGATACGTCTGTGTGGTAGACACACAAAGTCAGTGCTACTATTTTCATCCCAGAGGCCAAAGAACAACCGTCTTCCGCCTTCATCTCAAGACAACAGAGACGATTTTCATGACACAAAAGAGCGCACTTCCTTTCAAATTGAATTCTTTTTGTTGTTCAATTCTCTGTTCATACCAACTTCACTCAGCCTTCACATCTCACCTCAACCATGCCTCCCAGAGTCAGTAGACGTAATACCCGCCTCACAAGTCGGGAACCCGAGCAACCGCCTGCAAATGAGTCGCCGAATACGTTGGTGAGGCCTCATTTACCGGCTCTGCAAGGGACGCCAAGTACACGGAGACAGTACACATACGGCTCTGGTGCTGAGCCGCCGCCAAAGGTGGGAGCTGGTCTGCAGCGCATGGATTTGGGCAGTGCTGTCAATCAAGCCCTGGCCAACAATGTCGATGATGAGGAAGAATTCGTGCGACCAGCTAAGCCAAGGGCAGCGCCCACAAGGGTAGATGATGCGGGTCCATCAAGAGACAGTAAGTGACATACACACTTCTTCTGGACAAGTCTAACATGAAATAGATACATCACGCCCAGCAACAGGCGCTGTTCAACAGTTAGCGACTGGGAGGGATGACGATAGCTCACGAAGCTTTGGGTTGGAAAGTGACTACTACGAAGATGCAACGATAGGATCGGTGCCACCTTTGATAGCAAGAACTGAAAGGCAATCAACTGCTTCTAACCCAAACCCTCGAGCTCAACGAGATACGTCTGTACAGCGCAGCCTACAGCCATCTCGTCTTCGCGAGCAACACAGTCTTGAGGCGCAACCTAGTAGACCTAGGGATACTCAACAAACGTCACTCCAAGTACCCAGACAAACGCGGCAGAAATCGCGTGAACCAGAAGAACCCGAGCCGGAAAAGAGGGCTGCGCCTGCTACCCGTAGTAGGACTACGGCGAATACACCAGCCCCAAACAAAACTCGACAAAGCCAGCCCCGGCCTCGAAAACCTACGGTAGTGGAAGATAGTGAGGAGGGTGAAAGCTCTGCTGAAAGCTATGAAGATGATATCGAGAGTGAAAGCTATGAAGACGATATCGAGAGTGAAAGCCAATATGCAGGCAATGCAAGAAAGGCACGTACAACCACAAAGACTTCTACACGTATAGTTGCCAACCCATTCCGTCGACAGCCATCTCGAGACGCCGCTCCTGAGAGGAGAGATCAAAGAACAAGCGGAGACCACAGCCTTTTTTCTAGAATCAATAGGCCTGCTTCGCCATCGAGTGCATTTGAAAGGGCCCGTCGAATTCCCGATGATGCACGAGAGCGTGATTGGGCCATCCAGCGAGAAATTCAAGAAGCAGAGGATCAAATTGCTCGTGAGCGAGCTGAGCGAGCTGAGAGAGAACAGGCACCCCAAATAGAGCCGTGGCGTCAATGGCTTCGGGAACAGATTGCTTGGTTATCAACACTCTGGCCATTCAACTTGATCTGGAGACGGCGTGAAGACAATGACTTTGACGATTTTGACGATGATCAATACAACAATGGCGGCCCTACAGATTGGTGGCGGTTACTAAATCCCATGACATATCTGCAGTCTGTTGTATGGTTGGTCGATAGGATTATGGATCATTTCGTCAACCTTCTCGACGGATTATCTGGTGTTCAAATTCGAGGTTCTTGGGTCGAAATGGCGGTCTATACTGTTCTCATCGGCACCGTTGGTCTGTCTTTGGGGATCTTTCTCGTTTCGGGCATGGGAGCTTTGCGGCCGTCTCTACCAAGTGTTCCAAATTTTGGATTAGGTGGTGTTCACTTGCCGAACCCTGCTGGCTTTGTTCACAGTGTTGGAGATATGATACCGTCGTTCCCAGTACCCTCATGGCCTTCCTGGAGCAGAGACGACGACGAGCATGATGTCTTCGCATACAATCCCATTGACAACATTGAACTTGCGGATGAAGTCAAAAAAGCAGTGAAAAAGCTGACATTAAAACTCAGTGACCAGAAGAAAAGTCTCGAGAAGCTGGAAGCGAAACTACCTTATTTCATCACCATGGAAACCATCAATGGAAAGCCCTCTATTCCTCAACAGTTCTACCATGGTCTTCAAGATTATCTGAAGCAGAGTGGGAGCTTTTTGAACATGAAGAAGAAGGGCGGAAACTACGAGATCTCTACGGAAAAGCAATGGAAGGCTATCGTGGCGGGACTTGGTAAAGACAAAGATTTCAAGTCGAAGCTCACGAAAGCTGTTGACAGTGGCATTGAGGAGAAGCTGCCTGCTTTCTGGGATACATGGTTCAAGAATAACAACAAGGTTCTCGAACCGCTCATTGAAAAAGCAATAACTAAGACAAAGGCTGCTGGATCAGGAGCTGGATTCGACAAGAAAGTCGCCCAGATTGTTAATGAGCAACTCAGTAAGCAGAACCAGACTGTTGTTCCTCGCAGCGAATTCATAAAGCATCTCGGGAACGAACTGGCAACTCATCAAGCAACAGTCCGAGCTGAGCTCCAGGAGCTGAAGTCGGATATGTTGGCTCACATTGAAGAATCGATACGTACTGCACAGTTGATGGCTCCTAAGGGAACATCGGACGCTGAGATGAGAAAACTCATTCGAGAGATCGTTATCCAGACTATATCAGACGGAGGCCTTGAAGCTGGTGTCAAGACAAAGATTCACGAAGACTGGAACAAGCGGCTCAAACATCAGATTAACTTCTTCGCAGTCGGCGCAGGTGCTACCATTGATAACGCTCTCACGACAGGTGTATGGGATCCATTCAAGCAGGGTGTTGCTACTAAAGAAGCTTTGAAGCGTGGCGTCTCTGGCGTACACCCTCTCCCGGCCGTGGCAGCGCTTCTCCCCTGGCAGGATGAAGGAGACTGTTTTTGCTCAGTTCATGATATCGATGGCAGTGGACGATATCATGGTGCCAGAATCTCCGTTCACCTTGGTCACTTGGTCGTTCCCACTGACATCGTCATTGAGCACATCAATCAGAACGCAACAACAGATCCCCTGGCTAGACCGCGACAGATCGAAGTCTTTGCTAGATTCGAAGACGAAAAAGAGCGTGATCAAGTCTTTGCTGTAACAGCCCACTGGTTCAGAGAAGACACAACTAATCGGAACATCTCTGTTCCCTTATCTAACCAATTCGTCAAGATCAGCGACTTTGACTACGTTGGAAACGAGTTAAACGATGGTGTACATGTACAGCACATCAACGATGGGTTCTCCAACCTCAACATCGGTACAGATCAGATCGTCGTTCGATCCATGGGCAATTACGGCGCTGTGGATCATACGTGTTTTTACCGCGTCCGGTTATTTGGAAACGTGGTGGAAGAGTTGGTGTAAAAACTAACGGATAAATAAATCTGTTGGTGCAGTTTAGACTTCGATGTGCTTCCTGGGCGTTGAGGATAGGTGATTGATTCATGTAAATATTCTTGTATGGGAGTGTGAATTATATACGCGAGGCATTGAAGCGTGGAGCTGGGATGGGAATGGACAGCTTTTGCTGAGAATGGTGCTACTTATAATTCACTCATGACTTTTTCTGACATGTAAGAATTCTTTCAATAAGATACTCCATGGGATGATAAAACCTGAACATTAACCCTATGCATTTTATTTCGCAACTTTTGTCTATCCCTATACACAAGGCTCCATAGGGTATCGAACCTATCCACCTCCTTAATCCAACAATCCAGTAGCAAGCGCCTCGAGATCCTCCAAAGTCTCCGGCTCGTCCTGCACCTTGATAACCCTTCCCTTGCCCTTGCTCTTCTTCTCGTCCTCCGAGTCGTCCTCGAACCACTTCTTGGCTCTCTTCTTGGGCGGCTCGCGGTCCTCCTCGCTGTCTGACCTGTCGCCTCCCATTGGCAATGATCGCATGAGCGCCAGAGGATCTTCGCCGTCGTCGGCGTTGTGTAGCATGGGTGCGTCGTCGTCGTCTGATACGATACCCATGCGCTCTGCTCGCTCGGCGGCCTTGCGCTTTTCTCGCTTCTCGCGACGCTTTTGCTTGGCGAGAGCTTTGTCGTCCACATCTGCCTCGCGAACGCGCGATGTCTCGTCTTCGACGAACTTGCGACGTTGTTCTTCGGCTGGACCCTCTCCCATAAAGTCGTCCTCATCCTTGAGCTCGTAGATAGCATGGGCGTTACCGTCCTCGTCGAACACGACTTTGGTTGAGTTGCCCTTGAACTTGAGCATCTTCTTCTTTGACTTGAGTGCCTTCTCACGACGTTTTGAGTCGACGACGAAAGGCTCTTCACCTCCCAGACCATCAATAACCTTTGCCGTGCTCTTGAAAGCATTATTTGCCTCATCGTCTAGCTCATCATCCTTCAGTACTCTCTTGACTGACAAGAAATCGCCGTCGTCATCGTCCGCTCTCTCATCGCCATCAAGTACAAGCTTGTTGTAATGACTTGACAGAACGTCTTGATTTGTTCGCTCAAACATCTTGTCGTACTTTGTGCGCACCTCATTCTTCTTCTTTGACTTCTTCTCGCCATCTTCCTCAGATTCAGAGTCGCTAGACATTCCAGCACGAGGAGCATTCTTTATTCTCTTAATATCGTCGCCCTTTCTGAACTTGACTTGTGGTGTACCGGGGAGACCAAGACTAGCAGCGAAGCCGTCAAGATCTAATTTGTCGAACTTGAAGACATCTTTGTCTCTTTGTAGATGGATTGACCGTGTGTAACTGATGAAGGCCTTTTGGCCAAGGTACTTCAGATCTGGGTTCTGGAAGCACATGCTCTGTAGTTGATCCTTGATATTTCTCTTCTTCTTCTCCTTCACATTCACCTTCTGTATGGGAATCTTCTTTTGCTCAAGCTTCTTCAACATACCTGGCTCTTCGCTAGGGTCGAGGAATAGCACAGCTCGGCCATTACTCTGGTATCGAGCTGTTCTACCAACTCGGTGGATATATGTATCAACATCCTCAGGACAGTCGGCCTGAATAACCCAGTCAACGGCAGGGAAATCAATTCCTCGCGCGACGACATCTGTCGCAAACAAACACGATTGCTTCGCAGCTGTGAACCTGTTTGTGATCTCCATTCGTGCAATTTGCTTCTGGCGGCCGTGAAGGTGTAGTAGAGGAATACCGGGCTGAAGATGACGGAAACTCTCATATACGAATCGAACTTGCTTGCCTGAGCTCAGAAAGACAATGATCTTGCTCTTCAAATTGGCCTTGATGAAGCCATATAATGTGTCGAGTTTCTCTGTCAACGGTGTAATGATGTAGTGTTGTTGGAGGTTCGTGGGTGTGGCGCTAGCAGCGGCTTCGTGAACAGAGACGTATTCGGGGTCCTTCAGGCTGAGACGAGCAAGATCTGAGACCTTCTTGCTCTGGGTGGCGCTAAACATGAGTGTCTGTCGTGATTTAGGGAGATGCTCGACTAGCGCATCAACATCAGATTGAAATCCCATATCCATGATGCGATCCGCCTCGTCCAGAACCAGGATTTGCAAGTTGTTGGCATCGAAACCAGCTGTCTGATCAAGATGCTGTAGCATGCGACCAGGCGTGCAGACCAAGATGTTCATTCGATCCAAACGCTCAGCCTCCTCCTTCAAGCTCTTTCCACCGATTACCAAACCCGCCGAAAAAACATGGTTTCTGCCGACCTTCCGGAGCACTTGGAAGATTTGGACTGCGAGTTCTCGAGTAGGAGAAATGATGAGGGCGCCTAGTCCATCGTATTCGGTCCATTGGGCACGGTAGAGCTTCTCGAGAACAGGAATTAGGAAAGCAAGGGTCTTTCCGCTTCCTGTCTTGGCGGCTCCCATGACATCTTTGCCCTTGAGAGCCAGTGGAATGGCATGGGCTTGGACATCGGTAAGGGTTTGAAAATGTGAGGCCTCGAGGCCGTTGGCGGTCGGTACAGAGAGAGGAAGATGGGAAAAGTTCTTGATTTCATCCGATTTGGGGTCCTATATATTTTGTTAGCCAGAGTAAAAAGGGTTGTTATAATTAATATCCCCATACCAAATCAATCACTCGTTGTTCAAGCTGTTGAAGATCCTCTTGGTCTCTCTTGCGCTTCTGTTGGCGCTGCTCAGTTCGGCCATTCTTTTGCGGTTTAGGCCCTCGCCCAGGTCGCGCATGAGGAGGCATTGTGTGAAGTCGCGACGATATAGATGAAGAGGATCGAGGTGAAGCTCTCTAGACCTTGTCGTTGGCGCAAACCAAAATCAAGACCAAGTCTAAAATCGCTGGAAATTTTTTGGAAAATGCGCGGCGCCTGGCAATACCGATGGCCGACTGTGGGGCGCTTTACCGGAAGAAGCTTACCGCCATGGCAGAAAAGATTCACCGCCAAAAAATTGAATCCAACTGTTTTCTGCCCCTCCACTCAAGCAAGCTTCGCGAATTCATCACAACCAACTTCGTTAAGACAATATGAAAAACGACAAGAAAACGAAGAAGGCCGGCTCTTCGGCGAGTCAAATCGCCGATCAGCGATTCGCCGACTTCGAGACTGATCCTCGATTCCGATTGCCCTCGAAGAAGCAGACAAAAACCACAATCGACAAACGATTCTCTCGTATGCTCAAGGATGATGAGTTCACTGCTACCGCCAAGGTCGATCGATATGGCCGAAAAGTAAAGTCGGATTCCAAGAAGAAGGCTCTACAAAGGTTGTACCGCGAAGAAGATGAAGAGGAAGAGCAGGAGGATGAGGAGGAGGAAGACAACATCGAGGTCGACGATGACGAGGTCGTTCAGCGAGAATTGCGAAAGGCGCATGAGAAATACGATCCTGCCCGAGGCGGCGGTTTCTCATCTTCTGAAGATGACTCTGATTCTGAGGAGGAAGAGTCGGATTCTGACGAAGAAGAGGGTGGCGCGCAAGTCGATACCGAGGGAGACATGCAGCGATTCCAAGACGAGCAAAACGATGTCGAGGCTGGAGAAGTGACGAATCGAATCGCTATTGTCAATCTTGACTGGGACCACGTTAAATCTACCGACCTCATGGCTCTCTTTAACAGTTTCCTTCCCGAGACTGGTGGCAAGATCGACAAAATCTCAGTATACCCTAGTGAATTTGGCAAGGAGCGCATGCAGCAGGAAGAAGTCGAAGGACCCCCGAAGGAATTGTTCAAGAACTCCAAGAACGACTCGGACGACGAACCGGATGATAGCGACGAGGAAAGTGAGGATGGAGATGAACAAATCAAGAAGAGTCTGCTCCAAGAGGGAGACGATCAGGACTTCGACAGTGATGCGCTACGATCTTACCAGCTCGATCGTCTACGCTATTACTATGCTGTCATGGTCTGCTCAAGCCCGGCAGTTGCACAGAAGCTCTACGAGGCGGTCGATGGACGAGAGTACCAATCATCCTCCAACTTCCTTGATCTTCGATTCGTTCCCGACGATGTCACTTTCGACGATGAGCCCAGAGACGAGTGCGAAAAGGTTCCCGAGTCATACAAGCCCGTGGAATTCGTGACAAACGCCCTTCAGAGCTCAAAAGTCAAGCTTACTTGGGACATGCATCCTGAGGAGGCATCGCGCAAGGAGTCCATCAACCGTGCTTTCAGTGGTAGTCGCAACGAGATTGAAGAGAACGATCTCCGCGCATACTTGGCAAGCGACAGCGAAGATGACGACGATGTGGAGGAGGAAGAGGCCGTTGAGGAGAAGGGAGAGGATGAGCCCAAGCTTTCCAAGAAGGAATTAGCGCGTCGAAAAATGCGCGCTGCCTTGGGTCTATCTGAGGAGCCTACCAAGTCTTCCAAGAGCGCTCCCGTAGGCGACATGGAGATTACTTTCACCCCTGCTCTGTCAGAGAGCGCACCAAAGAAGACAGCTGAGGAGGAGACAACAATTGAGAAGTACATCCGAAAGGAAAAGGAGCGAAAGGAGAAGAAGCGCGAAGCTGCACGAGCTAGACGTGCTGGCCAGGACCCTGATGCCGAGGAGGAAGAGGAGGTTGCAGAGGAACCCGCAGGCGAGAATGAGGACCTTGGCTTCGACGATCCCTTCTTCACTGCCGCCGAAGACCCCGCAGCATCTTCCAAGACCTCCATCCGCAAGGCCGACCGTCTCAAGAAGCGCGAAGCTCGCGAAGCCGCCGAGGCCGAAAACAAAGCTCAGAAGAAACAGCTCGAGAAGGTCATGGCCGACGTGGGCGCAGACCAAGCCGATCACTTGGACCACTTCGACATGAACGAAATCGTCCGCGCAGAGAAAGCCAAGAAGAAGAAGGGCAAAGCCAAAAAGAAGGCCCTAGCCAAAGAATCTCGCGGCGGTCTGCAGGAGGACTTTAGCATGGATGTTGGCGATGATCGTTTCAAGGCTGTGTTTGAGAGTCATGAGTATGCTATTGATCCTTCGAATCCCAAGTTTAAGGCTACGGAGGGTATGCAGAAGTTGCTTGAGGAGGGTAGGAAGAAGAGAAGGGTTGCTGAGGGAGGGGATGAGGAGCCCAGGAGTAAGAAGGCTAAGAAGGGAAGAAGGTGAGGGATGTAATGTAATAGATTCTGTATATCTGGTAAGATTGGAGTTGGGTTTAAAAAGTGGTATTTGATAGCACAAATCATGAAGCATATACTGTTCAGTTCCCCTCGTCTAGCACATGACGCTTATAATCATCAAATATGATGATTAGTACATAAATCTCTAAACATTTCTCGTGACGGTTCTGTAAGTCCCATTATCAACTCACTTTATGCATCCAGTGGCTTCTGCCCACTCCAAAAATGCATCTTCCCATAAGCATGAACCTTGGGATCCCTCATGGACAGTCTACACTCCGCAAAAAACACCTCCATCTCATTCTTATCCCAACCCAACTGCGGGAAATGCAGATTTCCAATCGCCGGGAAGAATTCCTCGCATGCAGTTCTATAATACATACCCACCAATCTCATAACCCTTAAATCATTAGCAGCAAGTCTCTCGGTGGGTGGCGGGACTTACTTGTCTTTTGGCCACGTTCCATAAGGTAATTTGATAAAGTTATGCTTGATGTTAACAAATCCTGCTTCTGCGAGATATTGGCCTCCGAATACAGCGGCGTGTGCGTTTGTTTCGTAGAGAGCAAAGGCTTGGAGGATGATTTCTGTGAAGCGTTTGAGGGGCCAATCGTCGGGGATGCTATCGTCGTCTGTGTGGACTTGGCCGTCTACGTCTTGAAGTTCTACCCAGGCACCGGGTTTCATGTTTCTGGTATCGTTAGAGGAGGGTTGGGCATAGAAGGGGTGGACGTACGCGTATACTTGCTTGAGAAGTGTTACGGGTGATTTGAGGATTGGAATCATGTTCCGGAGATGAACGAGGTCAAAGTCATCGCCGTTAAGCCATTCGTCTTCGATGTCATCTACTAGAAATCTGTGTATGTTGGATATAGGATCTTGTGCATATGTGAATGACTTACTTGACGTTTGGAGGTACCCAAGTTGGTTGTATTGGACTTAGATCCAATCCCAATACTTCAGCACTCGGATATTTCTCACCAACTAACACCATTAGCATCATTCCCTCTCACTCATTTTTTTTCACATACTCTCAATAGCCCAAATTCCCGTGCCAGTCCCCAAATCCGCTATCCTTTGCGGATTCTCCCCAATCGGGGCATAAAAATATCTTCCATCCGTAGCCTCCAACATCATCGCATGAAGCATATCTTCACGATTCTGCTCCGCCTCATCATTCGGTAACGGATATCGTCCATGGCGATAACGATGATATCGACGGCCGTTTTGGTAGCTGTGTTCGAGGATACTGGAGCTTATGGATGTTGATGAGGAGCGAAGACTTGACGTATCATCGGGGTCGAAGTCGCTGGCGGAGAATTCATCGTCTTCGTCGCTGCCGCCGGCTTCGATTATTGCGTTGCCGTGTAAGAGGCCTTGGTTATCTTCGGGGGTTGGGTCTGTATCTGGAGTGGTGTTAGTTGTCATACGATTCTCTTGCGCAAGGCCTTCGCAGTATTCCCTAACTCTTTCAATCTCAACTGAACATTCCCCCTCCACTCAATACGCCAAAGTGAATGTCATCCTCATACCTTGTTCATCATATCCCGCCGGATCTGACTTGTCTTGTAATGGAGGACTACTCCTCGGACTCGCTCTTTTGCCTTCTGTATCATGAACACCCATTGCTTTGCCGTTTCTCTTTCAGCTATCACAATGAGCCTCGACTCGGGACAACATCCAGTATAAATACTTCCTCACTCAATGAGGGGGAGAAAACAAGAATCACGAGAATATGCACAAGCGGATATAGCATCCAATAAAAGGCACTTCTGATGGTCTGTTTTGCTTCTTCTACTGCGAATGTGACAGGTTCCAAAAGACAAGAGATAAGAGGGAAGAAGGCGCTTGAACATGATGTATTGCGTAATAACTCAACTTACGCTGACGAAACAGGATAGTCCTCCCGTACGTAGCTCATCTTTACTTGCCCGTTTACGCAGAAGCTATAAAGCGTCCTTTGGAATTTCCTCTTCGTGAATTCTGACGTCCTCGACGCTGCAAGACTAGTGCCTGATCTGGACCCCTTGGCGTAGAGAACATGCCAGTCGACACGGCACGAGCGAGGTACTTTTCATAGTTAGATTGACTTCGGGGTTTGACTTGATGTCCGAGATTTTCGCATTCGAGTAGTTTATGGAGATGGTGGAATACTGGCGTGATGGTTTGGAGCGATATCTCGGGTGAGGAAATAGAGTTGGCGAGATCGTGGGATAGATCTGACAGGGAGAAGCGAGTGCTGGGGTATGAGTTCTCTTAGCTTGGATTTGACGGGGAAGGTCACTGGATTGGGTATTCATATCGGTGTTTTTCTTCTCATTTGTTCATATGTCACCATGATTGGCTCTTATGCATGCGGTTGGTGATATTGCAGCACGGCTGAGACAGTTCAAATGCTTGCACTTCGAGTGAGAGTTAACCATTGATGCCTGCATCCGAAATCCTGGGTCTGGACCGAGCAAAGAACGTAGGTGCAAGCTACCTAATTTTACGAAATTCCTTTAAAGTGGTTAATTAAGCCAAGGCGTAAATGGACATTGACAGCTCATGACTCTTTGAGTTGTTGTGAGAGTGAGATTGTTGCAACAACCTGACTCGAATACAGGCCTCCAATAAAACTCGATCTGTATCAATGCCATTTCAGAACCGCCATCTGCATCAAGCTATTTATGGACATTTCACCAGCATGACCGTATTACAATGCCAGTGCTCCCCCTCATATGTATGCACATGCAGTGCATGTTGCGCGTTTACGATAAATACCAATGCATTGTCCTGCAATTGTGAGTGAGTGAAGCTCCTTGGTTGGTAGCAATGTAAGGTAAGGTAAGATAACACAGATAAGAGATCTGTCCGCGTGATGATGAAAAAGGGTGGGATATCCCGCACGATCCGGTTCTTTAGCTGCCGTTTCCGTCTGATAATCACAACACCAAGTCAAAAGTCGCGATGCTAAGTCTTGACCGATCACTACGGCTCAAGTTGAATGTGGTTAAAGTGTCTAGTTTTAGTGGCCAGGTTGGTGATGCACAAGACCTAAAACAACATATGAGTACACCATCGCAAGACGATTCAAGTTAACCTAACATATTTCACCATACAACCTCTTTACAGAGGAAAAGACACTAGAGAAGGCTGGGAAAACACCATAGCTAATCCCTGTCGCGAGTCAGATACCGGTATAGCTCTTCCCCGCTCAGAGGCGGGAGAGACGCGATGCATGTTAGCAACCCTCTTTGTTTTAATGAGGGTGTGATCAAGGTCGCATCGAGAGGCTGATGTGCGACCCTTGAGCGCCTGTCGAAGGAGCAGAGGAACACGGGGGAGAAGAGAGTGGTGATTATAGTGGTTTGATTAGAAGCAGGTCAGAGTGGGATGATATCGTCTTATCTCCACCAGTTCATCACCGAAAGGATCACATCCATTATAATTTATAGAGGTTACTGTAGAGGTGAAGCAAATATAGACGACACACGCAATGCACCATGAATGATTCATCGCCACTGAGGGACCCCTATCGCAGAATGATCATCATGATCATCCCTCCTAAACATCAAAACAGCTTCATCATTCATCACTCATCACTCATCACTCATTATTCTCTCACCGACTGTCGGAGCTAAAGTTCCCAAGGCTGCGTTGCATCGAGAACGATCGTGATGGAGGGGACGGAATTTGGGGGTCATCGCCCTCTAAAACGAACGCCACTTTATCTGTGGGGAAACGCGTGAGCTTGATGATTTTTTGGTGCTAGGCATGGGTGTTACAAGACCTTGGAAGGTAGATATCTCTTGTGTCATTATGGTATTCATATTACTCGTAACTCTCCCGTTTCTCTTGAGTCTTCCTGTTTTCTACTTTCTCATCGTCTTTATAATACAGGTCCGGGATAATTTTGAGCTCGTTGATCCTCCTCCTCCTCCAACGTCACCTATTTACTGTGACGAGACGACTTGAACACCAAGAATCAAGGCAATGCCGCCACAGTCAAATTCTCCTCTGCTTCCCATCTCCACGCCTACAGCTATCGCATCACCATATGAGCAACCACCTCCTCCTGCTCCTACAGCAGCGAACCATGTGCAGCGCTTCGCCATTACGACTTTCTCTCTCGCTCGTTTCGCCCGCGGTGTCTCGTTGATAGCATACCCACGCTTCGGCCTCTGGGCCCTCGATATCGCACCTGATGGTTCAGCGTATATGCTCGCTAGTCTGATTGGTATTCGCGATATTCTCCTCTCGGGTCTTTTATACACGAGCGATACTACAAACGCTGCGACAGACTCGGCTGCTCGTCGCGAAGTCACCCGTGCGCTTGCGACGAATTTATTCAGTGATGCGCTCGATGCGTTTGTGCTGATATTCTACGCTGCTTGGTCCGATGACTGGGGAAATCCGATTGCGGTTATTGTTATATCCGCTGTTATGGCGATCTTTGAACATTTGACGCTGTGGAGCTTGAGTGAGGATGATTGGGCTGCGCATGAGTATGGAAGTCTGGGCGATGATAAGAAGGCGAGGATGAATGCTTGGCTTCGAGAGTTGGAAAGATGTGGTCCTGAGACGTATCGACCTGAACAATCTGTTCCGCCCTCTTCGCGCGCTTCGTTCAGACAGTATGGAGCTATTGTTTAGGTGTTGATGAGCTATGGTTCTGATGAAAAGTTACGGCTGTTGTGTCTATTCTGCGTGGCGTTGATGGCTTGTTTGCATTTGGGGTCGTTTTCAAGATGGTTGATCGTTGGAGTTGGGAGTGCATGTTGCATGATGGACATGTTGATGTTTTCTGCGATGCATCTGGTTATGCAGTCTATACCTTCAATACCATTTCTTTTGAGTTTGACGTTTGTTATAGGCGCTGGAGGTGAATGCGTCTGGTTTGTTATTTTTGTACGACATAGAAGCCGAGCTTCCATTACAAACATGGACTATTATAAACCTTCTTGTCTATAGCCTCTCTGGTCACTATTCCCGAGATCTTCAAATCCTCTATCTAGAAAGTTCGGCAAATCAAGAAATGGCGTTACAATTCATAAATCTCATACGAACAATCCCATGACATACACTCAATTACACCTTTACAGCAAATCGGAGATGTATATATCACAACCCTTGCTATGGCGTGATATATCGCATCTGAGGCACAATCAAGGGTCTGGTCTGATAAACGTGCCGCATGTGGAGAATACCGGCCGCTAAAATCCTCCGAGTCAACGACAAAAGGACTTCAAATCTTTTCTTTTTTATATTTTGCCTCCCTCACTTGTCGCATACAACAACTTGATATCTCTTAGGCTTCTTCTGTCGTTACACTTGCGCTGCTTTCTGCATTGAGTTGTTACAATGCCTGTCCCTCGTGTAAAACGTGTGGCGGTCATCGGCGCCGGACCAGCGGGTGCCATTGCGGTTGATGCTTTGGCTCAAGAGAAGACGTTTGATCTTATTAGAGTATTTGAACGCCGTGAAGGACCTGGAGGATGTTGGTAAGTTATAAGATGTCTAGTGAACTACTAGATTCTATAGTGAGAGAATTTAAGCTGACGGTGAAAGGATTGGTGATACAACTCAACCTCCAACAATCTCAAACCTGGCAAAGCTCGCAGATCGTACAGCAGATGAGCAATTGCCCATCCCTGAGAGTTTACCAACATTTCTTCCCAAGTCCACGCAACCACGCCATGAAGAATCATCTCTTTACCCATACCTAGAAACAAACGTTGACACATCCACCATGGAATTCACACAAGAGCCCATCCCCGAAATCCGTAGTGAGAGATCAATCGGGATGCACGGCCCGCAGACACCCTTTCGACACTGGAAAGTCATGCGTGACTACATAGCAGGTATCTTGCATCGTAATCACTACGAAGATCTTATCTCGTACAACACCACTGTGGAACATGTTGAGAAGACCGGTGATGAGTGGAAGGTTGTGTTGAGGAAGGATGGAAAGAAGAATGATTATTGGTGGAGTGAGACTTTTGATGCTGTTGTTGTGGCGAGTGGTCATTACTGGGTGCCGTATATTCCGGCTGTGGAGGGCTTGGAACAGTTTGAGAAGACGAGGCCTGGGAGTGTGGTGCACAGCAAGCACTTCCGAGGGAGAGACTCTTTTCATGATAAGGTAAGTTGTGCGACTCTAAGAAGTGATGGTGCTAACGTGGTGTATAGAGAGTCGTTGTTGTAGGTGCTTCGGTATCCGCGGCCGATATCGCAGTTGATCTCGTCGACACAGCCAAATCACCCATTCACTGCGTTACCATCGGCCACACCACAAACGTCTTCTTCGGTGACACAGCCTTTGACCACCCTAAGATCCAGCAACACCCATCTATCGCCAAAGTCGTCAACCGAACAGTGCACTTTATCGACGGAACCAGCGTTGCAGATGTAGATCACATCATCTTCGGCACAGGCTACAGCTGGACCCTCCCATTCCTCCCCTCCCTCCCCATCCGCAACAACCGCGTCCCCGGTCTATACCAACATATCGTATGGCAAAAAGATCCAACCCTTCTCTTCGTCGGTGCAGTAGGCGCTGGTCTCACGTTCAAGATCTTCGAGTGGCAAGCCGTCTACGCAGCTCGTATTCTCGCAGGCCGAGCAACGGTACCTCCACAGGAGGAGATGCAGAGGTGGGAGGATGAGAGGATACAGACACACGGTGATGGACCAAAGTTCTCTGTCGTGTTTCCTGATTTTGAGGATTACTTTGAGGCGGTGAGGGAGTTGGCTGGTGAGGGTGAGCCGGGGGTGGGACGCAAGCTGCCCAAGTTCAAGAGGGAGTGGTTTAGGAATTTTATAGAGGGTACGGAGTTGAGGAAGGGATTGTGGAGGAGGTGGAATGCGAAGGCGAAGGCGGATCTTGAGAAGGATGGTGCCAAGGCGAGGTTGTAAATGCGACTTGAGTCTTAGAATAGATAATGCGTCTTGTTTAGATTTAGACGCACAAATAGATTAGGGTATATAGACATTGAGACGAAAGAACTGGATTATAGACTACATCTGAACATCAGGCTCAGGATAGTTGTTGGGCTGTATACAGTTTACAAGGCGGTGATTCAAGGCTTTACAGAAGACTAGGTATGCCTTTCGCCATCAATTCCCATGGTTCAAGGTCAACGATAATAATACTACATATCTTCTGGGTAGAAGATAACTCTTACTAGTATTGGAGCATTGTATGATCAGATCTCTTGGATAGCGTGGTCTATTTTATGTTGTCCCTCCACGAGACACATCACTTACCTCGACATTTCAAGGTTAGAATAGGACGAGTTTTCATATAGTAAAGGCGAAGTTCTAGAAACACGACAACGACTGTGCTGCGTTTGTGTAAATCTGATACACATACCTATCAATTGCCTAATACTACAATACTTTCAGTAATTGCTACTGACTTTCCAATTTGAACTCACCTTGTAGACAAAAGTATAATATTGAAGTAATGATCTATAGTTACCATGAAAGGGATATTCTGAAAGCCAATAGAACCATCTTTATATGAATTGACCTTGTTATTCGTGAAGCTTACCCCATACCCCGGATTTTCAAGGTGGAGCTTCCAGGGGATGTCATGAACTTGACATGCCGGCAATGAATTTCCATTTAGTAATAGTTTGCTACGATCGAGCCTCTTAAAAACTTGGAGTATAGAGTTACACGAAACAGAAGACGAGGCGTCATTAGTGAGCATGTGGTTTGGGTGTGCACCCCGCATCTTGCCGGAGGTCAATAGTGAGCCATGAGTTCTGGAAGCTTTTTGACATGGAAACGAAAGTCCAGAGAATCAGATTCAATGCTTAAAGAAATGATAAGAAACGTTGAGACGTTTAATGTTTAAGATATCTAAGCTTTGAATGTTGAATTCTTATCGTGAGCTATGATAAGCGAGTGCCGAGATGCGTGTTGGTGGAGTATCGGGATCGATGCTTGACTCCACTGAATGTCCACTTGAGCTCTAGAATGTGACCCAGGATATGGGATCAACCATCAAGGATTGCCTTGTTATATTGAATATCATATATAATTGTAGAAGTTCTCCAAGAGATTAAAGCACTATTCAGCATCACTTGAGCTTATATGTCACATCTCGGCTTCTAAAGCCTATCTCTTGACAAAAACAAATAGCTTCCCTTCTTATCAGTGTTACGTCGTCACAATGGACCAAGAATTAGCGCTTGTTTAGTGGCTGATAGTGATGCACTTCCCCGCGTTTTTATCTCGTCCAATGGACCAGGGCCTGGAGATACGTTGCCACGCCCCCATGTCCGTTCTCGAATCCCATTAAGGACCAACACCTCCAGGTTCTTGCGAGGACGGTCTTCTCTCCTTTTCCTTCATAGCTCCAACCTTTCACTCCTGAGATTGGCTTAACAGGACAAAATGCAGACAAAAACATCAACAAAGACAAATTGCAGAAGAGCTTCAAAGACCAAGAACGGTCCTAACCCACGATCACGCTCTGGCTGTGTTACTTGCAAGGCCAAACATGTAGGTCAAACTGCTTGTTCTGATAGCGCATACTGACTCGTCCAGACAAAATGCGACGAAACAAGACCCGAATGTCTAAGATGTATTCGCAAAGGCGTCAAATGCGGCGGTTACTGGAAAGAGTTTAAATGGTCCTTCAAGCATCAACCAGGCGAAGTAAACTTCGAGTTCGCGGCCCCGACCTCACCAACGTCTTCGCGAAGAAGTTCGACTATACAGCCCGAACCGTCATTTGTAGCGACACCTTCTGCGGTATTTGATGTTGCGCTAGATAATCCTGGTCCAGTGCAGACTGAGGAGTTGCCTGTTGAGGATAATACTTCAATTCTTGGTGATGCGAGTTGGACGACGAGTTCTTGTACCGAGTCGGATAATGATATCTTTGCGCGATCGAATTCCATCGTCGAAGAGAATATAAGCGATTTGACGGTTCAAAATGTCGAAATGACTTCTCAAGCTCTTACACCGACAAATGAATCTCAATACTTTGAAGGAACACCGCTCACTGTTGGTCTTATAACTGACACTTCATCCCTCCTCATCAGCAACTGGTTCGAACAAGTCTGCACACTATGGTCCGGTTTCGACTCAGACTTTAACCTCAATCGGAAACTCGCTCTTGAGCTATGCACGAGTTCTCAGTCTGTGTTTAGTTCCTTGCAGAGCATGTCTGCTGGCTTTCTATCGACGCGCTTACCACACATGAAGCAATCGGCTATGTACTTCTTACAAGCGGCTACCGGATCAGTTCTTTCCGAGGCAGAAGAGATCATTCAGAATCCTGCCGTGGACAACATGCCCGCTGGTGCATTATTCTCGCTATTCTGCCTTGGGACGACGGTGTGTTGGGTTGATGCGAGGCAATTAGGCCTACCATTCTTCCGATCAGCTCGCAAGATCCTAAATCGCCTCAATCGCCGCATTTCATCACTTTCAGCAAAAGATCTGGAACTATTATCATTCTTCAACAGAAGTCTAACATACTGCGAAATGCTTCTTGCAGCAGTTAACCAAGACGACACAGCTCTCGACACAGAAGATCCAGCAACAGGTCCTCAAACCGACACCTCAATGCAACTAGCCGAGCGATACATGGACAACTCACCACACCCGTGGACTGGCATTTCCCCGCTCGCATCTCAGCTCTTCGCGCAAGCGATAAGACTTTGCCGAAGCTTCCGACGAAACCTCAAACTACCGAAAGAAACAGGGCGGGATTTCCAACGAGCTTTGGAGGAGATTCAAGAGGCGCAGCGGTTGGAGGAGAAGCTCTTGGGGCTTGAGTTCCAGAATACTCTTTGTGTTGCTAATACGGGAGATTATCGAACGCCGTCGCTTCATCTTGCGCAGGTTGCTGAGGCTTATAAACTTGCTGCGTTGCTGCAGCTGTATCAGACCTTCCCCGATCTGGTGGCTTTGCGATTACCGACTGACTCTGTTCATGCGAATAGTCGACATATTCCTTGGGAGGAGTGGATTATTCCGTTGAGTCTTCGACTTGTCAATGTGCTGGAGCATATCCCGCCCAATTCCGGCACACGCTGTATCCAGCCTTTGCTATACATCACCGCGAGTACAGGCCTTCGCTACGATACTACGACAATGCTCGACATTTCTACTTCTTCATTCGACGCTGGTCTCGCTTCATCTAGCTTCCAGACGGATCCCTTCTCCATGGACATGCTGGGTACTTCACCGCCACCTGCGAACTTAATATCCCGCATGTCCCTCGATATTAGCAACGCTCGGCATTTCATCACCGGACGACTGAATATGCTGGAGAGCAGTTTACCGCCGAAACCGGTTATGATGGCGAAGGAACTTATCAAGGCTATATGGGATGCTTATGATAGTGAAGCACCTGGGTCTGCTTCGGTGCATTGGGTTGATGTGATGGAGGATAACAACTTGAGATCAATGTTTGGTTAGGAGATTGCAAATGAGATTGTTTATTGGATCAAATGTTTGGAGCTTATAGGGAGATATCACGGTTGGGATCACACTAGGTTATTGGCTTAATTGAGAGCTTCATATATGGAAGCATTCTAATCTATCAGATCCCGCTATCCATCCAGCCCATCCCATCTATAGATCATTCATCTTTCTCGCACCAGTATAAAACGCCAACCCTGTATCCGGCGAAGAGAAAGTAAGCGTAGCGCCATTGGGGATATAAAACACATCCCCAGCCTTGGCCTCAACCTTTTGACCCGTCGAGTCCTCAATGACAAAGTTTCCCTCGAGGATGATCTTGCACTCGTCGTATTTGTATGTGTATGTAAGAGGCTCGCCCTTGTTGACGCGGAAAAGACCCATGGCCAAGGGCTTCTCGGCGCCTTCGGGCGTGGAGTGGATGTCGCCGATGAAGGTGTTTCCGCCTGAGAGAGGGGGGATCTCGAATTTGGATTGGGCTTGGGCGAAGTGCTTGAAGGAGGCCATTTTGATAGTCTTTGGGGTTTGACTTTTAAGGGTTTGTTTAGGTGAAGATATTGGATTGTTTGATCCAGAAGTGGAGAGTTTGATGCTAGATATGAACAGTTCGAGGAAATGACCCTTTCATATACCCATCTCTCAAGCCTCATTCCCTTCAAAGAAATACCAATGTCACACATAAGCGGCGAGGTTAACCATCACCAACATTCATTCCCTCTTTGGAGCAATGTTACCGGCGTGTTTGCGGGGAATGATAAGATGGCGATAGCATGGTTTTTCCTATTTGGGTCAAGTTGTCCGGAGGTTGAAGATGGTGGGGTTTTCGGGATGCGGAGGTCGCGGGGCGTGGAGCGTCCGTTTGGAGAAGCGATTTCCGGTTTGTGAAATGATAGATACGTAACTTGTTTCTATGTGAGGGATTGATAGTGGGATGGTGGGTTAAAATGGGTGGTATGGCTGCTAGGAGTGTTGAGGTTGTGTGTATATATGTGTTGACTTACACGACGGTTTCGCAATACAAACAACTCCATTATACTTGTATCTCAAGATAGTACTCTTGCTTGTCTAGATCATCATGGACTTTACATTATCCTCCTTCGGCCCTCATGAAGCCGTCATACTCCTCAGCATCATAACAAGTCTCGCCCTTCTCGGTTACAAACTCAGCGACATCAGCCAAAGCCGCAAAAGCTTCCGCTACAAAAGCAAACTCCCTCCCGTATCATCAAACTACCAACCAAGCGACTACAAAACCCCCATCCCAGAACCCCACCCCAACTGGTCCATCGACAAGACCAAGCCCCTCCCCTACAGAGCATTCCGCTATGGCCCCAACTACCAAGTCACCATGGGTCTGCGGACATGTCCCGTAGAAGAGTGGATTGAGCTGGATAACCACTATCCAAAATATCACGCTGATAAAGCTGCGAGGATCAAGGAGAGAGGGACGAAGTGTGTTGATACACATCCTGATGCGTATCCTGCTGCTATTGAGCTTCTTCAGGAGCTGGCGGATTATCTACCTGCGAGGTATCCGAGTCTCTTTGAACGGACGGCTGTTGGGATTAAGAATAAATGGTCTGGTGAAGACTTCAACATTGTTGAGCGTCCACTAGCTGAAGATCCCATGGCTATCTGCGCCCGCCTCATCCAAGATGATCTTGCAATCATGGTCGAACGTCCCGATGGTCAATACTATCTCCTCGCCGGCGCCATTCTCCTCGCTGGCTTCTGGCGTCTATCAGACAAATACGGCATGTCCCTCTCCGAAATCCACACATCAGGCGACGTTCCCCATTTCAAAGAAAAGCTCGAAACAGGAATGTGCAAGTTCTTCAAGCGCCTTCGCCCAGAAACAGTCTACAACCGCAACAACTACTTCCTCCAAGTCGACGACAGTCTAGCCTGGAGCTGGAGTATCGGCAGTGAAGACGCACCCTCTGTGAGCTGGAGTACCGCTGAGAAGGATAAAGCAATTGAGCACCACATGTTTCGCTCTGAGCGACAGTCTCTTCGACGATTGCCAAAGACTGGTGCTGTGGTGTTTACTATTCGTACGTATTTTCACCCTGTGACGGAGATTGCGCAGGAGGATTATGTTCCGGGGAGATTGGCGAGTGCGGTTAGGAGTTGGGATGATAAGGTTGCGAATTATAAGGGGAAGCAGAAGTATGGCGAGGTACTGTTGGAGTATCTTGATAGAGAGCATGAGAAGCAGTTGGCGAGGGGGTTGGATGTTGAGAAGGAGGGTGAGATTAGGAAATATCCTTGGTAGATGGTCATTCCTGAGTTGGTAGAGCAATCTTATGTCTTTTATGCATTATGTCAATAGATGACGGAGTTATAAACGAAGCATTTGTTTTGAACTTTACAATCAAGATTCTCATGGTGAAGATAAGCACTCATTGTCGATGGTCGACTTGTTCAACCCTTCTGAGAGTCTCCCCTTGTCCAACTATATCAACTTGTAGAATGAAGCCATCACGAGGTATTGAGCTCAGAGCTTGCGAAATTAATAACAAATAAATTAAAATCGCTAAATAAGATCTTCGGATCCACCACTTCACTCAATTGACAGTCCACTTCCTCTCCCACCCCGGGAAGAACGGATTCTCAGCCAACGTAGTAACCTCCCAATCCGCAGGGATCAAACCCTTCCCAATCTGCTCCCTCTCCCATTTCCTCAGCGTCGGCTTCGTAACATGCTCAACATGCCACGTTCCCTTGTACTTCATAATATTTTCCTTGCCCTCATTTAACACCTTCAGGATCAGAGAAGGTACATAAGGCTCATCTCTGAACTCAGTCATTGGCGTGAACAGAGCCTTGAAGTTGAAGACAATGGCACCGGAGAGAGGCAAGCGACGTAAGGTCTGCCAGTCAACTCGAAGGGAAATATCTTCTTCGGTTAGGGAAGGGTTTTGAACTTCTCGAGTCTTGAACTCGGGGTCTTCTGAGGGGATGAAGAGCGGTTGTCCGACTTCGAGACCCCAGGATCCGCGCTGGATGGGACTATTGGTAGGCATTTTGGTGAAGAATCTTTTGTTCATTTAGCAAAGTGTTAATGTGTCAGGGTGCAAATTAACGTACCGATCCATGCTAAACTCCATCTTCTCCTTGTAATCAGGCACCGGAGCATGTATCTCCGGCAATCCCAGGCCAATCTTCTCGCTTAACTTCCATCCGACAGAAGAACAAATAACGCCTGCTCTGAAGCAGTACCGTCCGGTAGCAGGATCTCGCAGTGTAAGCGCAAAATCCTCAGGAACGTGATTGAGAAGGAAGAGCAGCGGCTCAGTCTGATCAAGATCCTGTTTTACTCCCAGAATATGATTGACGAATATCTTGCCGTGGACTTCAAATGCTTGTGGGTATCGCGCACATAGGAATTGGATGACCATCTCCATGAGCTCTTTGCATGCGAGCTCAGAGCCAGGTAAGGCCTGGAGGACACCCGTCCCGTGCTTTGCGTAGAGGGTTTGTCGCTGGGCGATGCGTTCGCGATATGTGTTCTCTATCTCCAGCCAGAAGTCTGGGTCCATTTTCTTCAAAGCTTCAAGTAGTGTCAGTCATGCATCAGTGTCGGAGATTGAAGGAGTTGCACTTACACATAGTCTGGTGATAAGCCCACCGAAATGGACGATAAGGTCTGGGTAATGCTTTATCGACATTGAAGTTCTTGAGAGGCTCTGGTAAGGGAACACCTGACAGCTTTGCATAATCGGGGAAATCTCCCAGTCTTCGGATCTCGTGAACACTGAAGCTGGTGAAGTTGAATGTACTGGGATTCGCATGGCGATAGTCCTCATCCAACCTCAGAAGAGGCTTTGATGCCACAGAAAGGTCAACATCGTCAGAGCCGAAGTCTGGCGATATCTCAGGGAGAACATGTCGCTGAGACGGAGGATAGACAGTGGTATAGTCTACAGGTGCAGTCTTCTTCACAGGTTCTGGTGGAGGAGATGAGGGATACGCATATCGATTGAGAGCCTTTCGCTTGTACACAAGAGCATGAGCCAAAAGACCCAAACACGCACAAGCACTGGCACAAAACGATACAACAAGTACAGTATGAACCGTATTAGGATGAAGACTCTCTGAAAAGACAAGCATGATGAAGAATATCCTCACAAACAACAGTGATATCGAGGATTTACAGAGTCACGACCATCTACACAGCAGCCATCTTTTCTTTATGCAACCTGTTTCTACGTCAACTCTCCCAAAAGAATATCGTCAGAGCATCTCAAAAGATAAACGCCAGTGAAACCCAAATTTGGTTACATTTCGAGGACGCCTGCGGGTTAACATAACCCTTTTAGGATAGTCGAATGAGAGTCGAAACGCGGGGTACAGTAGCGTTATCGCGGGAAGGGTGACGTAGGATTGATAGTCCCGAGATAGGGACGTATCTGTGACACGGATGGGGAAATGCTTTACGGTTGTGGTGGGTGGGGTTGGACTTCTTATCGCGATGTTGTTGATGTTGAGTTGGTCAGATGATGCTGCCTGTGATTCTAGAGCCGGACAAACACTCCGATACCCGCCCTGGATATGCATGTCCAGGTCATTTGGATAGTTCCGCGTTGCATGTCCTATAATCTCATAGCGGAAAGTGCACTTGTGTTTAGTTTGGTCTTGTGATTGGACTTGGGTAATCGTTGGCTATGCCCCCATATCCAGCCATTATCGGATACTAACATGGGCCAGCAATGGACTTGTATACAATTTAGCAAGTTTTTCAGAGAGGACAATCTGTTCTTAGCCGTTATCATGGTTAGCCAGTAAAATCAACCGGGTGTTTAGTTTTATACCTCAAAGTCCAAGGATGGAAGTGAGATAAGTTGATGGAATCTACCACTCAACCCAACCTATAAGAGACACTTGAATAGTGTCTTAGTTCAAAGGCAGATTTGAGTCTTAAATGATCCTCTAATCAATAGAATTCTTGTGAAGCTTCTCATTCAAACGTTTTCTAATGTACTCCATATTGATTGATGATTTACATTTTCTTTTCATCCCTTAACTTATTCGCGAGAACCACAACAGTCATTGTGTATTATATAAAAAGAAAAATATATATAATCTTCAAATGAACCCAAATACCCTATTGACCTTTTATCCCAAGCTTACATAAATTTATATCTTGAGCAGTTTTTGTGTCACAAACTCGAAGATCCACCACGAGTTGTTCCACGAGTATATTACTATTGGTTTCCATAAAGCTTCAATATGATAACTCATTACTGCTGGTTATATTTGAGAGTTCCAACAGGAAGTGCAGCTTACGGTAGCATATATCGGAGATACAGGTAATTTACCCTGGCGGGGATAGTGCTTATGTCCGCATAGGGCTCTGACATTCATAACAAATCTTACGTGTTCCTCAACCTTCATCTTCCCTCTTACAACATCACAAAAACCCAAAATCTTCTGAAATCTTCAAAATGTGGGATACTTTCTTCTACCGCGGCTCCTTTGTCATCTCCGCCATACCAGGTCTCATCGGCATCAACTCCATGCTCCGACCTGAAGCCACCCTCAAACTGGTCAAGTTTCCCATCCCAGCAGATCCTCAAAGCCGTAAGACCTGCTTATCCCTCGCACGTTTGCAAGGTGCACGAAACATTGTTATTTCTTACCTCTTCATCAACAACGCCTTGACCGGAGACAAGAAGCTCATGGGGATGGGATTGATTGGAGCACTTTTCATGCTGTTGACTGATGGGTTCGTGAGCAAATCGCTTATTGGGGGAAATGAGTGGTTTCACTGGGGATATATACCTGTTTTTGTTGCTTTCATTGGTAGTTTGCTGTATTCGGAGTGAGGGATGCCAGTACATGGTTAGCAATGGGCGATGGGGGACTTCTAGCCATAGCTCTTGTATGTCGTCAATATTCGAAGGAGTGTACCGCGTATCTGTTGAAGATGATATTACTCATCTCGCCTTACCTTGTTAACACTGCTTCAACAGAGGGGATGAGGTTTGAAACTCTAAAGAACGATTTGGCTACATATCTCCCCCAAAATGAAACTTTTGTTACCTTTTTGATATAGGGTTGTCTGAGTCGTTGTATCTCTTAACGCTGTGAAGTTATAATCTAGTCATTTTCCTAGATATACTCATACTCAACATATGTGTCCAACTTCCTGTAATAGCAGCTCCCAACAAATCAAAGTGGAGACTCTTGGTTGACATATATGTTATAGGAAGTCATACCTTTCAGTCTCGCCAGTTGGCTGTCAACCTATTCGCTCACGATGCCCTCACTCCATTATGCAAATTCCTCAACCTTCAAATCTTGACCAAATCAAAAATAAATAACAGCAAAAGAACTGAATCGTCTCAACTGTCGGTTTCAATGCGTAATCAGGGAATCGAACCCTGGGCTCCCCGACGCTGCTCGAATGGCAACGGAGAATTTTACCACTAAACCAATTACGCTGGTAGAGGCGGTTGAGCACCCAATTGGATGAGCTGTGGTCGCTGGCTACGAAATAGAGATCATAATGGTCTCTTCTTTGGCCTGTCTAGGGTTGGGAAGTATAGGCCCAAGGTTCAATTGCACGTTGACCATGGGCATCGTCTCTTGAAGAAGGCCATGTTCCTCTCCGACGTTGACATCCTAGTTTTTGACCACATCCGTTTCGATCTTCATTTCAAGCTACGAAATCCTTATTGCATTCTGAGTTTCTGAGTCTGAGTATTGGTAGCTAGCTGAAAGATGAGATTCTAAGAATTACCTGAAAGAGTAACTCTACTTTACTAATCCCTTACTATTATCTCAACATGCTGGACAGTTTCATCGAAAGACCTCAATTTCCGGTCTACGTGAATGTAGCTAATGGCCAATTTCTTAATTACTGGTGGTTCAAACTCCTGTTTGATAGTATCCGTGCCTAGCTAGGAAATCAACAAACTTGATAAAACTCCTCCGCCTCAGTTTTAACGCCAAACTCATAGAGATCTCTTCGACATCGAATATGATATTTCACTTTGACGATGGCTGTCAATGTCTCAAAGTCCGGCAGTTGATACGAGGGATGAAAAGGGGTTGCATTTTGCGGATCTTACTTATCCCGAGCTCCAACGCCCGCACGTGAGACGAGGCTCTCCACCTCATCTCAAGATTCTCATCAATCTGACATGAAAGCTCAACATCAATATTCGATACACAATTGATTCTCTGCGCCTTGATATTTACTCCTTTAGTCGCTCTTTTTCCGCTTTTCCGCTAAAATGCCGTCTCCGATCGTTGCCGCTACGCTCCAGGCCGCGGGCCTGTCGACTATCTCTAATATCCTTGCCCAGATGATTGAGGCTCGTCAACAGAATGTAAGTCTGACAAAATGAGTAGACTTTATGCCACCATTTTAAAATCTGGAGTCTTCAACGTTGATGGTACTGTTATTAAAGTTCAACGGCTAATTTCCGTAGCGTCCGGTCTCCCTAGACATCGTCCAGCTTCTGCGCTTCGTCTCCCTCACATTAATGACCGCGCCTCCAAACTATCACTGGCAAGCTTTCCTGGAGCGAAAGTTTCCTGCCTATCCTGCTGGTCAAGGGCCCCAGCTTGGACGTCTGAACGATCTTGAGATGCAGCCTGCCGACGACGCACCCGAGCTCAAGGAAGGCTACGAGGAGCGCATGGCGCAGATCAACAAGGACAGAGAGCCTCAGTTTAGTATGCGCAACACTATGACCAAATGGTTTGTTGATTGTATCACTGCGGGAGCTATCATGAACACGATTGCGTTTTTGATCATTATGGGCCTGCTCAAAGGTCAGGGCGGTTCTCAGATTTGGAGCAATATCAAGACGGTGAGTTCCTAATATCTGCACATGAGCTATTCTAATATCTTACAGGAAACTATTCCCATCATTGTTGCTGGCTACAAGATTTGGCCTATTGCGTCCATTATCAGCTTCAGTTTCATCCCTGTTCATCGACGAATCGTGTTTTTGAGCTTCATTGGCCTCTTATGGGGAATCTACATGAGTCTGGTGGCTTCGAGGGTCTAAATCGTTTGTAATGTTTCATTAGCTTTGGTTGTCTCGTGAGAAGCGAAGGCCCAGTTTGGCAGGCTTTGTATTTTCCATGTGTTTGTCATCAGGGTATAACCTCTGCTGGACGGAAGTTTTTGGTAAAACTCGTCTACAACTCGTCATATTGTTCGATCAGAATAAAACTTACTACTATGGTAATACGAGAAATCGATTGAACTGGCCTCCAAAACGATCGATTCAACAGTGTCCATGGAAATGCAATATCTGTTAGCTAGGTCGATTTATTTTGATTTTGCGTTCGAAAAAGCACACTTGCAGTAGATCAGCTGTTCAAATCTGATTCCTTGAAATAATTTGTTGAATAAAATCAAGAACAGACTATTGTTGGTTATTATTCATCTCGTTGCTAAATGTTCAGTCTCCCAAAGGACTCTTATTCACTGTTCTGAAAACGACTCCCGACAAACATTGAACAGCCTCTCAAACGATGACGATCAATGTTCTTTTTCTCTCTATATAAACTTGTCGTATCCCTTCATTGCCATTTAGATTTCTCATCTCTCAACCAACTGTCTCAACCAAGTCAAGCAATCATCAATCTCACCTCATTTGCCTACTCACAACAACCAAGACTATTACACAAAGCTCTCGCTTACACAAACATTCACAACTAGCAATTATTATTCACATCAGCAAACATGCCTGATTTTCGCCCCCTCTTCTTCATCGCCAAGGTCCTAACCTGTTGTTGCTGCTGCCGTCGTGGTAAGCCCGAAAATGCTCGTTCCAACCATCCCTATGACAATGGGCACAATCAGCGATCAGGGGGCAGCAGTGAGAACGTGTCTGACTACTCTGAATATTCGATACCCCCAGCATACCCAGGTGGCCCTCTAAATCTCATTCATCCCGATGAATTTGAGCACCCTGATGAGTTGGACGAAGTACACGGACGAGATGATTTTGGGCTTGACTTGCATAAATCCCGATCTCTTGTGCCTCTTCCTCCTACCCCTCGCCCATCTTCGCCTGTTGCTTCTGAGCCTGGCACTGCTGGGTCTGCTGCTACCAAGACTATTTCAGATAAGCCCGTTGCTGTTAAATCTGTCATAGCTGAGCCTATTGCCGATGAGCCCGGTACTCCCAAGCCTGCTTCTGTTGAAAGTATTACAGATGAGCCTGCTGCAACCAAGTCTGTTGCCACTGAGCCTGGGCATGAACCCAAGCCTGTTGAGGCTGGTCCTACAAAGACTGAGGCTGATCGACCTAGTTTTGTTAATGTGGACCTTGCGGAGGCTGGTCCTCGCAAATCTGATATCGAGGCCAGGAAGGTTAAAGATGGTACCACTGAGGCCAGCTCTGACGCAGTTGGTCCTACAGAGAACAAGGACGAGGATAAGGACAAGGACAAGGTATCAAAGTAAGACAGGAGTTGGAAAGGATTCGGTGTTGTTTTCGTTCGGAGTTCGGCGTTGGCTTGGTAGAGGAATTGGTGACGTGGGTCAAGTGGTGCTGGAACATACTGGACATTAAAGGGAATTTGCTGACTGCATTGTCTGTTTTCTTGATTTCCTTTGTGAACATATAAATTGAACCAAAATTGCGTCTTGATATTATTCCCGGTAGTGAGTGGGAGTATTGTATTCAACCTCGTGATTATGCCAATATCTGCGGTATAAATGAGCTATCTCGCAGCCTTGTCTCTACCAACGAAAACTTATAATTTCACGTTGAAATAGTCCTGAAATGAGTAAAAGCTTTCAGACGTTCCACTATAAGAAGGACAAAAAATGACCTAAGTCATTGGCAACGGCCAAGATGGTCGGGCAATTCAGTTGATAGGCGAATGCAGTGATGAATAGGCGGTTGAAAATGTCGCATGCATTTTCAACCCCCAAGAAACATTTTCCATGGTTCATGCTGCAGATTTTTCTGCGGGGTTTATTTGACCAAGGACCAGGTTATCAGACTTAAACAGGGCATAAGGCAGCAAAGCTGAAGTGCCAGTGCCAGTGCCAATACCAGGTTTGTGCATAATGCATTAGAGGCTGCAAGACCCTGCAGCGGGTATCCATGGTGGTGGCCTCAAAGTGTATTTCAGGCCCCCTAAATGCCGAAGAATTGGGTAATACAAACATAAATAAATGTGACATGCCAAAATAAAGTGATAAGGCTGAGCGGAGATATCATCTTTGTTTTTCTTACAGAACTCGTGGATGACGAATAATGAGGAATTTCTTGCCTACACTTTTTCAGATCACCTCGCAAGGTCATGAGTCATGATATGCCTCTCTTCCAAGCTTTGAGTCAGGAGGCTCACCGACAGAAAGATCATGCCACGAATTTGTTGGTTGGACGAGGTCCATGAATACGTTGGCAGTTTCATATATTATGGATAGATTCAAGCGACTTGATCCACAGAGCAAATTTTTATGCCTCCTTTCTTTGAGCATTGTCCATGTCAAGATAACGAGTATATCCAAATATGGAAGCCAAGACACTTGATTATCACAGACGTCACAGCAACAGAGGTTGCGGCCAGGAGATACAGTAAGACAATGGTGGAGGAGGGGAAGAAACAGCATGTGCAATTTTAGTGACCAAGTGATGAATGAAATAACGCAGTAATCTTCCAACCAAGATGCGGATATCATTCCAGAAACGCCTATGAAATAACCCAATGACCCAGCCCAAGAACCTCTATTCGAATGTTGATATGTCATGGTGATTTCCCCGGACACGGCGCGTCATTCTTCCAAACTTGATGCACATCTCGTGAAAACTGTGCCGTCAAATCGCGGATTTTGCTACTGTTCATTAGCCACATCACGAACCATTGAATGATGATACATACGAGAGCTTTGTAAGATCTACATCCATAGAGACGACAGTAGATAAATCGGAAAGATGATTGTTGACCATGGCTTGTTCATGCGCATTAACTACTGCTTGCTGAACCTGTCGACTTTCCACCAGAGCATCTGTCATCTGCGCCCATGCCTGAGCAGCTTGGATGAGATAATCGCCAATATCGGTGACGATGGTACTATTTTTCTGGTCGGACGCGGGTGTTTGCTTGGCCATAGTCCTCGATGTAACTTGAAGATGTTGAACAAGCGCGAGTAATTGCTGAGTAGACTGTGCGTCGTCGCATTGGGGATGTACAACGGCAGCTCTGTTTGGAGTATTCATTGGAGTAACGATCAAGTAATTGTATGAAGAGATACAGTGGTCGTGTGAGATATAAAGATATAGTACAGGTGTGATGAAAGTGCAAGGCGGGAGTAATTAACGCGCGGCTCGACAGTCAGACACGGACACAAACGGAAATATACATTGGGGGGGAAGAAATATGATCTGAGCTGAAAGTGTCTCTGAAATGGAATGTGAAATTGTAAAAGGGCGAAACGCCCCAAAAAGAGAGTGAGCTTTGTCCTGCCTGCGTCTGGGTGTGTGGAGCCACACAAAAGGGGAAAATACGGCGCAGCACAAAGAAGCAAGCAATGATGATGCGAGAGAAGAGACAACAAGGCCAACAAAAGACTCAAGAGTTGACTTGATTTAGCGCTCTCTACGGCATCAGTTGAGTAAGGATTAGAGGAGAGAACAGAGCCCACTAAAGTTTGCTTATTTAGGTGGAGTGTTAGTTCTTCTAGAAGGACTTTTGGGGGGATGTTAGGGATGGTGTTGTCTCTTTTCTCTTCTCTCAGTGGCGGGATCGGCAATGGTTCCGGGGGGTGAAGAAGAGAAACAGCCCACCTGCACCCTTGACAAAAAGGAAATAAGCCGGGACTTGAAAGTGGCATTTTGAGTCGTCTGAGACATTGCCAAGAGAAAGTGGAAGTGAGAGGGGAAAACTGACATGTTTGTTTGACTTGACATTATTAACAATGACATCAGTGATTGATTGTTAATCCCGAGTATTCGGAGCTATTACCCCTCTTCCCCGCGATATCTCCTAAAGAGCATCGGTCTATCTTTTTAGTCTGTATCTGTAGATATCGCTAGGATAGTTGACCGAAGAGTGGAAACACGTAGTGAAGCTCCCCTCTTGTCTCTTCCCGCATCGGCCAAGTCCGAAACAAAAAGAAGGGACACGACAAAAAGTGATCTGACGATGTTTTACCGGCAAAGCATCCGGGAATTTGGGGTTACACAAATTAAAATATGCGGTGAACAGAGAAAAAAGAGAGACATTGGCGCTAATGCACCCGAAACAATGGTTCGGTACCTAAGAAAAATCCGCCGAATGGATGGGCTAGTTCCCGGTGCATCCACACTAGCAGAGGAAAAAGTAAAGAGATAACATTGACAGGCTTGACAGACTTGACAGGGTGGGCGATACGAGAAGAATGGAATCGTTATGGAAGGTTGATTTCTGATGATTCTTCGGGAGAAGCAATTTTTATTGTATGTCGTGCAGATCTCTCATGTCAGTTGCTTTTGAGGTACTGTGCAGGTTTCAGAATGTTTGTGGTGCATGGCTGTCATGTCAGTGCTTGACTTCAGGGGTGTCGTCTCCCTGTTTGTTCTCTGTGACCACTATCATTAGGCATCAAAATAGTTATCTCAATCACTTTACTTCATTTGTCACCCAAAAATATGATATCACCTATGAAATATGATTTCACGAATCATGTCTCAAACCGATAACATACACTTTCAGCCAAGTTCCAAGAGTCATTCCATCTTCCAAGCAAGGGTTCTCCCAAATACAACCCTATCCTACAGTAGCATACAGAACGTCAATCTTGCTTGGGGATCAACAAACACTCACACGATTTCGGCACACAAACTCGCTCTCCGAGATGGGGGTTGGTCGTACAGACCGTGTTTCCACCACGGTGAGATGTAAGGGCGGGCTCGTGATGCATGCCACCCTTGCAAGTTGGACAGATTTTGACGCATGCTACGATAATTCACGGTAAACGTGCTTTTGCTACGTCATCTTGTACCTGGTGATTCCCGGTTGCCACGTTGTTTGGGGGGCTGGAACGCGGCTGTTGGGAATAGGACAGGTCATTTTGAGAGGAGAGGCTGAAGAGACAACAACTGACAGCGGTTGTTTACTCCCGGTTGACAGCTTGGGCGGTTAGAATCAGTTTGCCTAGCGATGTTTATTGAGTCATTGTCACTTGTCTGTGAGTATCCCACTTTGCATTTGTTTTAAGACTGTCACAGTGGGTTCATAGACTTGAGCATAGGTATTCTCAGCAACCTCTCTTGTTCTTCGTGGTGACCCTGATGCCCTTGCGATTGTGGTCTTGCGTACAAAACACACTTCCCAATGATGAAAGTGATTGGCTGCAAGAAAGACCCTGCATCTCAAATTTGCCACAAGATCTAAAAGTAATATCTTTTCCATGGATCTGATATCGCGCAATAAGAGAAAACATCATGGCAATCAGCCAATCAAATCTCCTCGCCTCTCTTCTCCCCAGAAAAGAGATGATATCTACTCAATCTCAACAACCGAGACAAACGCCAACCATTTATCATCTTGGCCCAAAACCCCCGGTCAAAACCACTAAACTCATAAAGTATTCCTCGCGAATCATACACAACATTACCGAATCCCCTCGTCAGAGATACTGTATCCATCGTTACCCCCCTTGCAAATTGAACTAATGCGTGTAAGTTAGTGTCAGTTCGGCCACTAATGCAGCCTGTGCCGGAGACCCATGTCGGTGGGGTTTCTTTGGAGCAACACCCGACGTCAAGAGATGATCATTTTGGGCCTCGGCGTCTTGCGCTCGGTGGTCCGACGTAAGTATACGTCGCTAAGGATTGGCTCTGCGCTAAGGCTGAGAATGTTATGTTATCTCGAGGGGGGCGTTAGAGATACCGCAAAACTTTATTATTTGCGGGGGAGTGCGGAGGAATGAGAAAACAAGACCAGAGATTTTTTACTTAGGCTGTTGAATTGATAGGGAATCATGGAAACTCGCTAAAGATTGAGCAAATCATCGCAGCCTCGCAGCTCAAGGCTATAAATATTCAGCTGGGTCTCATAGAACACAACTGAAAGACATCACCTAGAATCATATTATCTATTCTCCAAGTCAACTCACCATGAGTAAACCATCTGTTCTCATCATCGGCGGAGGCGTCTTCGGAACCTCAACCGCATACCATCTCATCCAGCGCGGCTACACCAACGTCACAGTCGTCGATCGTTTCGAGGCCCCATCTCGCGACTCGGCCGGCACAGACCTGAACAAGGTTATCCGTGCAGACTATCCAAACCCGTACTACGCCCAGCTCGGTCTGGAAACCCTTGGCGTGTGGAAAGATCCAGACTCTCTCTTCAAGGGCCTTTATCGCGAGTCGGGATGGATCATGGGCGGGCATGAGGAGACGAATCAGTGGTTGGAGAACGCTAAGGATTTGGCCGAGAAGAAGGGGAGACAGGGAGTGGAGTACTTGAATGTTGAGAGGATTAGAGAGAAGTGGCCTGCTTTGACTGGAGAGTTTCCGGGCTGGACTAATCTGCACAGTCCTCAGGCTGGTTGGGTAACATCAACACTCCATATCTATCGATTCTCAATACTGACTTGTTCTAGGTCCCGTCAGGCCAAGCCCTCCTCCGCATGGCCAAAGCTGCAGAGAAGAATGGCGTAAAGCACATCACCGGCCATGCTGGTCAGATCAAGGAACTCGTATACGAGGATGGAACCTGCAAGGGTGCCATTGCCGCTAACGGGGAGATTCATCTCGCCGATAAGGTCATTGTTGCAGCTGGAGCAGGTCTCCCTGCTCTTGTCGAGGGAGCTAGAACTGATGTCAGAGCGGAGACTTCGGTTATCTGTGTGATGAAGCTGGAGCCACACGAGATTGAAAAGTACAAGGACATTCCGATCATTGATGACTTTGAGCAGGGTATGTTATTACATCCATGTTGGAATTGGAGTGCTGATAGTGGACAGGCATCATCTTTCCTCCTGATGAGAATGGCCTCATCAAGCTATGCAGTGTACGACTCGTGACCAACTACTTCAACCATGTGCACTCTGGCGCTTCAGTCTTGCACTCAGTGGGTGACTACCCTTTCGATGGATGTCCAAAGGAACTCGAAGATGAGATTCGAAAGTTTGTTCGAGAAATGATCCCTGAACTCGCAGATCGACCCTTTGTCCACACCCGTCAATGCTGGTAAGTAACCCTCCTTATCAAACCACTTATACCTAATGGCTTTACCAGGGACGGCATGGCCTCAGACTTGAACTTCCGCATCTGCCCCTATCCCGACACGAAGAACCTCTACATCGCTACAGCCGGGTCAAACCACGGTTTCAAGTTTCTCCCAATCATTGGAAAGTACGTAGTCGACCTTTTAGAGGACTCCCTCGATGAAGGCCTCAAGAATCTCTGGAGCTGGAAATTCGGAAAGAAGCCCGATGATTTCCAAGATCCTCATCCATTTCCCCGCAGAGACTTGAACGAGTTGACGGGTTGGAAGGGGAGAAATGCTCCAGCGGATGGAAAGTTGCCTTGGACGTGGAGCCGTAGTCGTCTCTAGGGGTGTAGATGTAGTAGGTAGTTTAGTTTACTCACATCTCACGGCTTAAATCTTCATCAATAGATCCGCCAATGTAGGCCTAGACAGGGAATAGAAATCATCACATGACAATGCACTAGTTGGAATAAAGGCCCAGTAATTGAGAGATCCGCTCGTATGGATCTACGTGGAAACGCTAAGTTTGAACTATCTTGAGATTTAGCGTTGTTTTCTCTGGCGGCTCTGTTTTCTCACTTCATTTTCTCCGTGGCGATGTTTGAGTTAATTTCCTCATTGATTGAGAGAATGGAAGTTTATTACCTGTTTCAGACGGAGGAGATGCAATGGACTAATGCCGTAAATGCCCGCCTGTCGGTAGCACTACGGCGTCTGAGTTAGCCGTTACGGTAGAATGGTACCTATAGGTACGACAAGCGGGTAATCTTGACCCATTGGGTCATTTATCAGTCATTGAGTTGTTTTCGTATAAAGCCGCAATAATATCAGTTTTGCTTTTTATTCTTCTGAGTAAACAACTGATTTGTTTATTCGTTAATGACCATTTGTTGGCTCTTACAAGGGGACTCCAAGGTTTCCTATTGGAGTATCACTAATGTGACTCGTCATTATCCGGCATCTCGATACTCATCACACGGCACTAACATGGGCAAATTTCAGGGTCGCAGACCCGTGGCCTGCACGGCATGCCATTCTCAAAAGTTAAAATGCAGTGGAGGTGCGTATTTCAACTTGTCCATTCAACTCAATCGTTGATCATATATAGATATTCCATGTCAGCGTTGCATTCAACGGAACAGAGAATGCGTATATCCAAAGAAAGAGAAATTCATCACTGTGCCAGAAAGCTATCTTCGCGATATCGAAGACAAAGCCAATATCAATAGTCAGTTCAGCTTCTCAACTGACACTCAAGCTCCTATCACTCTCTTTGACGGCAACCATTTCTCTCCCGCAAGTGACACGGGTCCCTTGAAAAAATCATGTCCCGCAGAAGTTTTTATACAAAAGTTGACAGATATTTCTGCCTTGCTACACCCATATATACAGACAGAGTCATGCCAGCAACTGCAAGTTGGCGAGGCTGGTGAATACGTTTCCTTCCATTTGAAATCTGAGGATGGAGGTGAGTAGAGGGAATGAGAACAACTTATACGAGTAAAACAACTAATTCAAACAATTCTTTAGGGTCTGGGGTGTTAGTCAGGCTTCCATCAGAAAAGCAAGCCATGCATCTTCTAAGTGTCTTCGAAGAAGCGTGTAACGAATATCATTGGTTTCTTCGTCAACGATTCAGAGATCGGATACGGCAAACATACTCCCAGCCCACAAGCCACACCGACGACAGAAATTGGTTCTGCCAACTGTCACTTGTTTTGGCTCTGGGCCAGGCTCTGGGGAAGGAGCCAAAACAAGAGTCTGAAGAGACAGGTGACCCATGGGATTTCAATCAGTCTTCAGCTCCATTGGATCTGTTTGGGCAAGCTGTGTCTTTAGTCAGCATCTCAGAGACTCTAACAGTGGAGGATCTTGAGGTATTAAATCTTATGGTAAGCTGACGTTGCTGTTACAGAAGGGTCGTGAGAAGTAGTTGACCGTTGCATAGGCTTATTACTGCCACTTCACAAATCGACCAAAGACAGCTGTCGTCTACATCAGCCAGAGCATAGCACTAGCAAGACTACTTCAACTTGACGACCCAGAAACATACAAACCCGAAATTTCAGGGCGGCAAGATGGCAAAAGCCAACATGTTACCACAGAGCATATGCTTCGGCTGTGGTGGGCAACTGTGTGTCTGGATAAGACACTCGCTTCAGAACTTGAGATGACTCCAGTGTACTCGAGCCCTTCTATGGATTTACCGTTGCCGTCTTCAGAAAATCTATCACCCGAGGATGAGGAGGAGTTCTTCGATCTGGATCTCTTATTGGCAGAGATTCAGTCTTGAAGTTAGCAGGAGCTGCTAATTCTGATATCTTGCTCTGTATCCTACCACTTGCAATAGCTTTTTGATGGATGGGGAGTCATGTATTGAAATACCCACGTGGAGTTACGATGGAACAGCCATCTAAGAAAAACAAAGAGGTTCTCCGTTTTATGTTTCAGCCAGCCATAGGTATGTCTTCATGATCTAGTAATTAGTTATTTCTCTTTCTAAAGGTGCTGATGTAGGAGGCAGTGGGTTTTGAAGACAAACCAGCAAGGAACCGGCTTTCTTTACGACACGGCAGTAGAATTGAGTCTACTTAGTCCTGATTCGAGTTAGAATACCTAGAGCCTTCGTAGTTGAACATGTAAAAGGTGATCTGCATAAGTGTCAAGCCATAGGTCCAAGAATCGGCCTCGTATTCGATATTTCGTATAACCATGCTGTGACCAAGTGGCTCAGCTCATGTCCACCGTTGAACACAAGGTTTGGAAGAACGCTGTGCTGTCGTGTAAGTGATCTGTGAATGTCATAATCTCCGACCTTTGAATGCATGTGAGCCCCTCTACAAAGTTTCACAATTTGCAGTAACTAAGTTCTGTGTGGTGATTATAACTTAGTTACTGCAAATTGTGAAACTTTGTAGAGGGGCTCACATAACTGCCTGAAAGTTTGCTCTTAAAGCAATCATAGCCAATGGGCCGCGATGGGTAGACTCTACACAGCGTAAGGTTTCACGCTCAATTCTCTCAAGTCCCTTGAGAGTCTTCTCGCAGACTCACACAGCATCAAACACAGTCTCGTTCTAAGGTTTGCTATAGTGAGTAACCACTTCTGAACCGGCCAGTACGTAAACTTGTTAAAGAAGTTTGGTAAGTACTTTGTGGGGTTGTAACTTATTGACTTTAGTTCTACCAAAGTAAACAGTCAGCCAATACTCATTTTTCCTGAGTTAAGTTTGTCTGAATCTTGCCACTAAACTCAAATAAACTCCTAATCGTATATATATATCTGACTTCTTTTAATTCTTTTAATTCTATTGCTTCTATTCAATCATCACAGTCAACATGTATTTCTTCCAGAAACTCGCCCTCCTGCTTCTCTCGGCGACAGCTTTGGCTGGAGTCATTCCTTATCATATCAGCAAAGACTTTGCAAATCCCAAGTCAGGAGCATCTGCACATAAGACCCCAGAAATTCACGCTCATGAAGGGGGCGACTTCTTGAGTTTCCAGGGCACACACCCAGGCAAAGTTGTTCAAGGCGGTGTCGAGCTTCGGATTCTCTCTGTTGGTGATTCTATCACTGTTGGATTCGGGAAAGGGACAGATGGAAATGGGTACCGGAAGAGACTAGAAGAGGACCTACGTGGCAAGGACACACCACCTTGTTCGAGGAATTTGACTAACATCATTTTTAGGAAATGAGGTCGTTTGGGTTGGTACTGAGAAGACAAAGGGAGATATGAAAGACGGTCACTTCGTAAATCTCTCCAAATTCCATTGAATGAGATACGTTCCATTTCTGACATGTTTATAGGCAGCTTGGTCTGGAAAAACAATCAAGTACATAAACGACCACATTGATCCATCCCTTGAACAACGCCCCAACCTCATCCTTATCCACGCCGGAACAAACGACATGAACAGTGACCACCGTATTTCTACCGCCGGAAACCTCCCGGAAGAAGCTGCCAACCGTCTAAAATCAATTGTTGAAAAGATGATATCTAAATGCCCCGACGCCACTATTATTATGGGCATGATCACCGATGTTTGCGACAACAAGAGGTATCATTTTCAGAAAGAGAGGACAAAGATTTATCGGGGGCATATTGCTGAATTGGCAGCTGAACTCAACGCAAACGGGCCACATGTACTTGCTGCTGATTTTGGCCCTTTTGATGATAGGCTTTTGAGTGATTGCGTTCATCCGACTCAGAAGGGGTATCAGGTTATGGGCGATTGGTGGTATGATTTTATTCATCAGATTCCTGAGGGTTGGATTAAGGATCCTCAACTCTATTGAAACCCTGTATCCAGCCCTGTCTGGGGGAGGCAAGATATCTTAGGACCTTTAAGACTATATGCACAGTTCCTTTTGAAACCTTGAGTTAATTCGGATTTTCTATTATGTTGGCTTGATATGTCTCGCTGAGATATCATAAGCTTTAACTATCAATCAAACCAAGATTCAATACACTTTCATAACTTGAAGTTTAAAAGTTTTGCAGTGAATCACTGTCAAACTCTGACCAAATCTCAGGTATAAAAGGGGCGCTTCTTTCCCACTCTGATCCGATCCAACTTCAACGTTTCATCATCTTCTTCTTCTTTACACTCGAGCTATAAGTTTCTGCCCCGCTCGTATTCAGCTCCTCTCTTGCAGCACAAAGATGCCCCATCATCAGCGACAAAGCCTGTCCCAAGGCCCTTTTGAAGATCTTGAACTTGACCATGAGGACCAGCACCTTGGACGACACATTAGACGCATGATGTCGTCTACTCTTAGCAAAGCAACGTTTACCATCAACATGGGCGACGCTTACGACTACAATATCCTCCAAGAGAACCCCGAACAACTTCATCAGGAATTCCGCAACTATATTTCTGATGTCGCAGACAGGCTAAAGCAGTCCGGAGACAATGAGACCGCTCTTGACGAACACATCACCGACGAACTCGCTCGCATGGTCTATGGGTCCAATATGATCGAGGTTGCTGGTGGAGGTGTCGATATTACACTAAAGCTCTGCAAAGACGTCTTTCGGGGCAAAGAGCTTCCGGAAGAGATCAGCGAACGTGACGCAGATTACCATGACCTCAAACTCCATCTCTTAAATAAGAACTTGCCTTCCGGACACGAGGCTATTCTACGAAGCCGCCGAGAGATCGTTCAGCACGCCGAAGCTGCACGGTTCATGATCGATCAAGTTTGCATCAAGGGCAAGGATTTGTCTCATAAGATCATCAACGAAGCTCATGGTATCCTAACATACAAGATCGACATTGGTGATACGCCTTGGCCCTATTACAGTGGAGTATACCGGACATGGAACGTCCGATGCGGTTCTCACGTCTTCATGGATGAGAGCAAAGTCCCTGCTGCAATGCGCGACATGATAGACGAACTTGACTCTGATATCAAGAAGGCCGAAGAAGGACAAATCGACCCTGTGGTACTTGCAAGTAAATACTGTCACAAATTTGTCAACATTCACCCCTTTGCAGACGGCAATGGCAGAATGTGTCGTCTTATTCTCAACACTCTCCTCCTCAAGTACAGCGGGGGTATCGTCTGCATCGGGCAGGACGGCCAAGATCGACAAGAGTATATGCGCATTGCCGTAGCGGAAAGTGTAGAAGAATGCTCACAGAGTCAAGAGTCTGGAGCTGCGAATTACAAGCAGCTCGCATCTTTCACACTACGACATGCCCGCGACAGCATGCGCAAGGTTCGACAACTTTTCAAGCGGGATACTTAGAGTTTAATCGTGACGAGACACTCGAAGATGTCCCTGTTCGGGACTAGAGGATTCGAGGCTATCCTCCGGTTGATGAACATGACTTAGTTATTGGGCTGTTGTATAATACAGACCGAATGTTCTATACTCACTATAGAAACTTATGACGCGAATGACTGATCCAGATCATGTGATACTAATTAATTATGCAACAAATACGTCTTAATCAAATAAACAGATACAATAATTGGTGACTTTCTTCTGTGTAAGCACTACGGGCATAAGAAACACCGGCATGTTCAACTCCGAGCACGCATACTCGGCCGTTTAACGAACTTATGATCATATTTTACTACGCTTCAGGGAATATATATAGTAATGAAGGACTCCGTAAACTAATAGCCAGGCTGATTTCATTGTAATTGTTATAGTGAGTGGGATTCTGTCACTCATCTCCATGGACTACGTCTTACCATCTGTCGTCAACCGGGCCATCGGCCCTCAAAAAGTCCCCCGGTCTCCGATCCCCCTTCCAAAAAAGCACCAACTCCCCCTGGAACAGCCACACGCGCAAGACCGGTCCTTATAAAAGCCCCCGAAACCCGGGATTAACGGCCGATAAACCATCTTTACCTCCGGCGCATCAGTAAATCACACAGAACCTCATCTCGTGTCATCAATTTACTCTTTTCTTCTCTTTTTTCGTTTATTAACTTTCTTGGCATTCTTTTCAATGAACTAAAAACTATGGATGAATGCCTCATCAGTCAGGATCGCCAGGATGCGGCGCAGAAGACGAGGGCTTGTACGAATTGCGCAAGGTTGAAGATGAAGTGTCAGTGGCCTAGTTCTGGATCTGGACGTGTAGAAAAGACATGTTCGAGGTATGATACAAGAGAAAGAGATTTGAGGTGATGAATGCTAATTGTGTAGATGTTTGAGGATGGAGCTTGATTGTCAGGTACCGGAAATTACACAGAGAAGAAAACGCGGCAAGTCAACGTAAGAACCCAACTCATTGATATAAACTTTGCTGACCTTCATAGACGAGTCGCTCAATTAGAGAAAAAGATTGATGGCATCGTCTCTCTCCTCTCCGCAAACCAACGCAAAGGCCTCTCCCCTCTAACACCAGAAAGTCCCCAAGAAGTCCAATCCCATCCTCCATGCCAACCTCACACCCAAGAAAACCCCTTCACAACAAACCACGACATGATCAACCAAATCCCCGACGACAGCGTCCGCTTCAGCACAGACGTTGAATTATTTCCTGGCTTTCGCATCTCACAGCAGGAAGCCTCTGACCGTCTTGATGTTTACCGCCGGGACTACGTACCGCATTTTCCCTTCGTTCCTGTGCCGAGTTCAATGTGTGCTTCGGAACTCTATGTTGAGTCGAGAGTGTTGTTTTGGACGATATTAGCGGTTGTTTCGCCGCTGGGGGATAAAGTGCAGATGGAGTTTAAGGCGTGGTTTAGGAGATATCTTGCTGAGCATCTTGTTGTGAGGCAGGAGAAGTCTATTGACATATTGCAAGCGATGTTGATCTACCTAGCATGGTGAGTAACCCCTTGGAGAGTTGCGGAATTGCGCTGACTGATTAGGAATGACTTTCACTTTTATGGAGAGCTTCAAGTCACCAATATTATACAGATGGCTATCGGTCTAGTCATTGATCTCAGACTCGACAAACACGCAGGACACTTTCTGGGAGGACCAAAGACGCTACTCGGCGATGCATGGACGTCAATGAGCAAGCATCCGATCAAGATGAAGATCCATCAGACAGCAGCAGACAAGCGCGCTGTTCTAGGCGTATACCACATAACAAACCTGTAAGCCAACCAGCTCCTTTGACTGATGAAGCGTAGCTAACAAGACCAGACTCAGCCCATACTTCAGAAAGAGCACCATCTTCCACTGGAGCACACATCTAGCTTCATGCTGCGAAAACCTCACCGAAGCACGCGAGTATGATTCAGATATATATCTCGTATCCCTCGTTCGAATGCAACATATGGCCGATCGGGGATTTAGCGTCATACCAGCCATTGATCCATTCGATCCTACACCTCCGACATTCCACGCCGTAACAGCCATGGCCCTTGATACGGTCCATCGCGAATTGGAGAACTACTTTAAGCTACAACCTGAATCTGTAAAGCAAATACGTATGTTTCCCGACCTGATCATTGTACCAAAGCTAATTGTTACAGCTGGCTTCAGAGCCCACTACAACTCCATCCTCGTCCGTCTCTACGAACCAATCCTCACAATGAAACCCTCCAGCTTACTATCCCCCGACACACCCCCATCCGAACCCTTTCTCCGCTCCGAGTATCTCTGGAAATGTCTCGAAGCCGTCCAAAACACCCTCGAAAACCACGTCATCCTTCCCCCAGAAAAAATCTCCATCCTCCCCGTAACAGTATCCTGCGTCCTCGCCTTCGTAACAGTCACAGCATCACGCTTGATAATGGCCGAGAACTCTACAGACTGGGATCCAAAAGCCGCACGTCGACGTCTTCAATTCCAGGATATTCTCCAACGATTGAGCGATCAGTTTGCGCAGGCTGATGAGGAAGCGCAGAGGCTGAATAGGAGACGTAGGGTTATGGAGGATGGGAGTAGTGTGTTTCTAAAGTCGTGCTTCAAGGTGAGGTGGATTAGACAGTGGTATTTGTCAAAGATTCCGCAGGAGGAACAGCAGTTGTTGGTGCAGCAGCCGCAGACTACGGTGGAGAGCTCGAGTGTGTTGCAGAGTAATCCGGATTGGGCGACTAATCTTCAGTTTGATGATGAGTTTTGGGCGGACTTGTTGACGGGGTTTGATATGGAGGCGTTTGACAGGTCTCTTACTACTGTTGCGGCCCAATAGCGCGATTGACGCTGTCTCGCATTTGACTTACAGCATGTACTAGTATTTAATGATCCCTATAATTCACCAATTGGAATGATAAAGTCATCTTTAGTATCAACTGCCGTTCAAAGTCTGTTTTATACCCATGTTATACTACAATTGTTGACGGCACCTTCGGCCGGATGTGCCCGGGCGAAACAAGGGTCCGGCGCCGAATAATGTTTCATTTCCCAACCAAGCTCCCTTTTCAACATTCTGACACCAAAAGACTAGAAGCCATTGACACGAAAGAAAAGTCTCATCTCTTGTCAATTGTCTTAGTATACTGCATTATTTCTTGTTTTACTCGCTCTCATTCACAAAATGGCCCAAAAAGCAGCTCGCGACTGGGTTTACCTGGTCATAATCTCACTTCAACTCATCGGCATGATCTGTCCGTATCCCTCGCCTCACCCGCAAGAACAACTCACTAACAGTCCCCAGGTCTCGAATTCACTGAATTCTACCCTGAATCAATCTACTCTGCACCTAATGCACCTCTGCACTTCTTAGCCAGCGTCAAAGAGCAATATCTCTCCTTCTCAGGAGACCCCTTCTTCGGGGACATGTTCCACGGCGCCTGGTTCCGCAGCATGTTCTTCATTGAGATCTTTATCCAATTCCCTCTCGCCATTTACATTGTGCGGAGTCTCGCTGCTAGGAAGCCTTCCTCTGGACCTGTTGAACTCGCTGGTTTGGCGTATGGTTGCTTGACGGCTATGAGTTCTGTTGCATGTGTTGCTGAACTGTTGGAGATGGGGCCTGAGTTGGTGAGCGAGGAGCATAAGAGGAATTTGGTTTGGGGAACGTATTTCCCGTATGCGCTTATTCGTAAGTTCCCAGCCGTTTATTGAGATGTTTGCTAATGAGATCAAGCTGGTTTTATGGCTGTTGATATGTACACCAGACTGTTGCGCCGTGTGAGCACCGATATCAAGCCCAAGACACAGTAACTAGCATGATCACATAACGACACTTGGTACGACAGATAGTCGGTGTGGGCTGTTGCCTCCGGCTTTTCACATTATTGTTCTACATTGCAAGAATCCCATATCCATCCCTGACTCCATAAATGCACTGTACATAAAACCAGGACCTCAGTCCATTCTCTTATTCTGCTTCGAGTATCCCCATCCATTGCCCATAGTGTTCACTCCATATCCCAAAGGCGTCGCACCCCCAAGAGCTCGACCCTTCAGTCTTCTAGGCAGAATCACACCAAGAGTGTACATAGTAGCACACAACACACCAGCGCCAAAGGACACAAGACTGTAGAACACAGTGCTCGCGTAAATATGACCGCCTAAGCCCTGCCATTCTACCTTTCCTTCTGTCTTGGGCAGCGCCGGTGTAGGAAACCATCGCACAGAGAGGCTCAACGGCAATGGATCGCCAATGACCAATTTTCGTGTATGCGAGCCTTGCAAATGATGCAGAGGGCTAGTACTATATGCAATCGCTGAATCCAAAACACCACTATCATGAGCATGAGTATGATGTTTCGGCGTACTATGCAGCAACACGTTCATATGCGTGCTAATATGTATATGGCTAAGCTGCAACGTGCCCGCGAGTGCGAAAACAACAGGGACGTATTCACGCTCGGGAACCTTCTCGCCGACGACTTCGACTTCGGCTGCTGGACGCGCGGGAATGCGGCATGATAGAGGCGCATCGGAGTGGATGTAGAATTCGAGGAGGTGGAAGAAAGGGTCGTCGATCATGGCTATCGTGCAGTTCACTTCGCCTTCTGTGCCGTAGTTGAATTCGAGAGAGCGGCCGGTTTCGTTGCAGACGGGGAAGGGTTTCCATTCGATTTCGTGTTTTTCGTTTTCGACATGTTCGCCAGTTTCTCTGCGACTCGTTAGAAGTGTAACTAGAAATTGGGCGATAACACGTACGAGTTACGGCTCATACATTCTACGGGAATAGCAGCGCCGTAGTGATATGAGGGAAGACCATCTTCTGGGTTTGCTGTGACGAGGGGCGTTAATGCGCCCAGGGCGACTATGGCCCAGGTGATGGGAGCGATCATGATAGCGGTGTGATTCGAGGGCGCAAAGAAGTGGTTGATGAAAAACCACCCTCGTGTATTCGGCGACTTGAAGCGTCCAGATCAAGCATCAAGATCATAACATGGCGATCAAGAAAGGTGTTTGGCGAACTTTGGAGGGTTGAGTTGAAGCTGGGTTGATGCTATGTGGAGATAAGATGCCACCCTGGACTGGACTGGACTGAGTGTATCACGTGTCACTTCATTCCAGCGCCAAGAAAGGGGAGCATTTACGATGAACTTTATTAAATACTTCCATACTTGAATATTTGAATGAAAGTCACTGAGAGCCATAAACCTTTGTTAGTCTTAGTTGGGTATGTTAGTAGTTGGTGGAAATGCTTGCAAATACGAGACCCTGCAGGAACTCAAATAGGCAGAGGCAACGAGGAGTTCTTGAAACTAACTGGCACAGAAGACAATTCAATTCTTACACAAACACACACTGTAGACCAATATCTTATGAGTTAATGTATGCTGCACTATGCAGGTTCCATTATATATATTTCTATGTCCTGGGAATACCCTGATGAACGCTCCGAGTTAGTCTCCGTCCAGCGGTGACTTTTCGGAAACTTCCCAACAGACTTATATAACCCTTCACCAGCATCACTCATTGATAACAGCAACTCAAACTTAACTTATGATCACTACACTACGCCCAATTATATCAAGAACCTCTCGATTCATCAGAATGACCTCCTCAGACACCGAAAATGCCCTCAAGACTCTCAGAGAGCACTATGACAACGCTACTCTGGAAGCTCAGATGCTGTATGCTTCACGAACAATGATGCCACACTTGATCAAGCCTCTCCCAAAACAAATGGGTATATCTGAAAAGACTTCAACGCCTGTGAAGTTTCTAGATAATGCTTGTGGAAGTGGAGTCTTGACACACGCAGTACAGCAGGCTTTGTCCAAGGATATCCTTGAAAAGAGCACGTTTCTATGTGCTGATGCTTCGGATGGTATGGTCAGTGTAGCGAAGAAAAGACTCAATACGGAAGGTTGGGTTAATACGGAGGTTAAGAAGCTGGATGCGACGGTGAGTTAACTTACACGATAGCATGAGCAGACACTGACGAGATAAACAGAACACTGGACTCCCTGAGAATTCCTTCACTCATGTTGGTCTTGGTCTAGCACTCCATGTGATCCCTGATCCAAACGCTGTCCTAGCTGGTAAGTCTCCCACATGAACTCCCCAAAACAACACTAACATATACAGACACCAAACGTATCCTCAAACCAGGAGGCATCTTCGGCGCAACAACATTCCACAAAGACAACACATTCTGGCTCCCAGACATCCGAACAGCGTTCGCATCGTTCCCCTTCGAAGCCAAACTGCCCGAAGTCATGAAGATGCAAATGCACGACCAAGGCGACTGGGCAAATCCCGCATGGATCGAAGAACACCTAAAGAAAGAAGGGTTTCAAGATGTGAAAGTTACTGCTCATAATGATAGCTACACTATTAAAAGTGCGGAAGATTATGTGCTGCAGTTTGGCATGATGTTGGGTTGGTTGATGAAGACTTGGTGGAGTGAGGAAGTGCAGAGGGAGCATTCCCTGGAGGAGGTTAAGGAGTTGTTGAGGAGGCATCTGGTGGAGAAGTATGAGGGCAAGGGGTGGGATATTGAGTTCAAGGTGATTTGTATGACTGGGAGAGTTGAGTAATTCAGTCTGAGGCCGAGATCTGCATTAAGAGGAATAGAAGCTTAGTACTTCTGTTTATCAAGGTTTCCAAGCTCATGATGAACTGAGGAATAGAAGATAAAAAGTTGAACAACTTGGCCCTTTTCGTGGCACAGTAGTTGCAAACTTGCAGTTTCTTATGATAACATCCACATGACATGTTCGTGTAAGAAGAATACTAGTATTTGTGACAGTTGCTGCACAGTCTAGCCACCCTCTAATACACATTTTATATAATACAATATTAAATGTATACAAAATGAACGAATCTGTATCTTCTGGAATACATTAAAATGACCGCTTTTGCCCTCCAAACCCTCTAACCCTTCTAATTATCACTCCCCAGAATGCCTCCCATCTATAAAAAATGACCGACAAGCACCCTCCCTTTTCATCAAGTATCTTCATCCCATCCTGGACTGAAATACAGAACGTTGTACTCTTTTTTACCATACACGACACCGGAACTCCTGTCTAGTATGGGCGACCAACCCCAGCGAGGTTTGTGTATTTGAAGTTTGTGGAAACTCGGGCGAAAGGTTGGTCTGAAATGTGGTGCCCAGCGAAGCGGCTTCGTGTTTTATTATGCTCGCTTGCGCTGGGTTAAAAACTCACGCTTGAAGCGTGGTAAACGTAGTTGGATCATTGGTGATGATTCATTTTGTTGGTAGGTTGTAGGAGGCCAGCTCCAGAACAGAGGAGAGGGAAAGTGGTCGTTGAGTGTCTCAAGTCATATTGAATTCGAATTTGTAAACGCCAAGTCGTCAAGACGAGTTGTGCTATGTAGGAAATATGTTGTTTGCCGTGCGAGAGCTGAGTTTATAAAATACTGCTCCCCATACTAAAAGACAAAAGATTGTTGAAGTCTGCCTCGACAACACCACAACCTCTCAATCTTATATATCCAAAATACCTCGCCCCCCAAAACAATTCCTTAAGCCCGCTCCAAACGCAGTGAGGCCCTTTCTACGACTCGTTTTCAAGCGTGGCGTGTTACCCTTCGCCCTAGTCCTCCCCCAAAGTGAGGCGAACACCATGCAGGCCTCACGCACCAATACCACCTCCCACCGCCTCCAGGTCTCACTATATAGGGCGAGCGACATTGCAGAGTTAACGTAGCGCTGCATGCACTGTCGTTGCCTTGTACTACACCCATGCTGAATCACTAGATATCGCTAGAGTGTTGGTGTCATCGCTCTCTCTGTTAATGGTACGCAGCCTGATATAGGTTGTAGCATCAAAACACTTCTCTTCGCTGTTGCATTTCTTTCCATTCTTTTCAGAGGGGCGCCTTTTTATCAAACCCCCC